ACCTGAAGCAAAATTTCTGGAGGGTGTGCTTTGGGTAATCACTGTTTAAAATTTTGCTTATTATTTGAAGATTTCTTTTGTCTTTAATTTCGCCTACAACTTCTGATATTGAATTATGGCAATGCACGTGGCATTTGTGCCTTTTCATTTGCAGCTCTCTGAGTTAATGCTCCCTCCGCCTCCCCTCATATTATTTGTCCCCTGATGGAGGTAGGGAAGGTGTCTCTAAAAGACTGAGTACACTGGATCTGTTGTGTGAAAACTAGAGCACAGCCATCCTTAAAAAAGGCCAAACCCACCATCTGGGCTCTGTGCACCCAACTGGGGTCTGTCTGCTCCAAAACGGGGTCATGCTGTGCTGAACACCAGTGGAGCCACGAACAAGGGGATCCCTGACACCCTGGGTAAGGTCGTGCTCGGGCTGCTGACATTTTAATCAGCATTTCATAACTAATTGCCTGGCCACAGCTATCTTGTTTTCAATTAACGTCGTCCTGAATGTCAGGAAGTAACTGTATCTCTCTAACTCACTAAGGCTGCCTTCTGGGTCTGTGAAATGGCTGGATTTCTTCACAGGGATGGATTACATGTTTACATCTCCCCTTCTGCTGGAGTGTGTGGTGAGGATGACCCAAGGAAGCAACAATAACGTCTTTATGTTCCCTCTCTGTCCTCCTTGTCTTGTGTATGCTATAGAGCAGAAAAAAAAAAATCCCTCATATGTGAGCATTTGGAGAAGGCTGGAAGACACCCACATTGCGGACACTGGACTGCCTGAATGCAAGAAGATTGAGGAAAAAAAAAATTAAGCAACAGCATTTGAGAGCCTTTTAAGAACAGACACTTTTCCAGACGTCAGGAAATGCCCTTAAATGGATGGGATTGTTTCAATGATCCTATCAGTCGAGAGAGCATTGCTGCCTCTGAAGCTGGAGGATATCTCTGCTATCAGCAGGGGCTCTCACACCACACTGACCCACTCTAATTCTGTCCAGCTTTTAAGATCTGATATTCTGGGACACGGGAGTTTCCAGATTAGGATAAATATGACTCACTTACAAAACTAAGCATCCCCTCTTCTGAGCCCAAAGAGGCTACAGTGTGGAGGGTGGCTTTTTACCTCTTTGTGTGTATGAGGGAAAAGGGGTCACTGCAGTTCTGCTTTTGATAGTCACTGGTTGAACGGGCCATGGGGGAGGACAAGTGAGCAGAGGGCTCTGTGGCTTGGTCCTGCTGTTCACCACAGGTGTGCCCTCTCTATATATGCAATAGGGTGGACTCATCCTGGCTGCGGACCATGGCTGCTCATTTACTCACTTGGGCTGCAGGAAAGGCAGAGCTTCTTTAAGGAAAGTTTCTATCTGCATAAAAGGCAGAGCAGCTGAGAAGGGACAGTACAGATGGTGCTAATTTCCAGAGGCCATATGTTTGAAAGGACCCTGGGTACCCCCACAAGAATTCTTTGTTTTCTCAATATTCATTTTCAAAGGTGCTCTGGAGGTCTCCTCTTTGCAGGAGGCTGTTGCTTCCTCCCACTCGTCCACTCCTGACACGTTTGCTCCGTCCCCTCCTCCATCGCCCACTGCTTGACAAGCCCTGCAGCTGGATAAACAGTGATCGCAGTCGCTTACAGCCCTCCAGTGCCTTTCAGCAAGACACCGGCACAGAGAGATGCTTCCTGAGATGCTTGTCATGGGCAGACGGTCGTGCTGCAGCCTGTGTGTCTGCACCAGTGTTGCTCTGGTCCCGGCAAGATCAGGTTCAAAACACAGAGGATCTGGAGGTGCTAATTACAAATGTGGGCTCCCTGTTCTGTGTAAGGCTAAGGAATTTGGTGATCTGGGAGCTCTGGGTCTGTCTGCTGTCTGAGCTTAGCTATGAAATGGGCTTAGAAATGTTCACAGTAGCTTTGATCCCTGCTCTGCTGCGTTGTTGTCCCTTCTCCGCTGGCTGATTATGGGAAGGGGGACTAGCTCATGTCCTAAGCAGCACTCATCCCAACGGAGCCTGCTGTAAACATGGGAGAGGAGGAACCCCCAGAGGTGTGATTTGCATTTGTGGCTGTCGAGGTTGTTGGCTCTTGGTTGTTTGCGGAGCTCTTTGGAGCTCATCACCATCAGGACTTGGTCCACCTGGAGGCGGTCAGGCCTCCTTCTGCACCACTGCCCCCATCTGTTTGGGACTGTAGGAGCTGGGGAGCTTGGGGGACAACACGCAGTGGTGTTGTGGTGACTGTGTTGCAGTTCACATTAGTTTCATAAAGGGTTTTGTGCAGCCCGGTCAACTTGTAGGTTTTCTCCCTTGTCTCACAGGGTTGCCAGCATCCCTGACCAGGCCAGGGCAGCTCTGGAAGACCCCTGGCCAGGGGCAAGCCTGGTGCATGGCACGCAGCACAGCCGGTGCTGCCCAGGAGGGGCTGGTGGCTCAGCCTGGCCACCAGTGGTTAGAGTGGTTGAGAGCAGGGGCATGAGGATCCCCTCCCTCCTTTGCCCACTCTTTCCTCTAATGTGCGTTAAATTACATCTTGTTATATTAAAGACTGAGCCTCTTTAGAAGCTCTGCTCAGCCTTCTCATTAATCACTGTGACAGAACATGACAAATCCACTTTGCTGAAGCATTATTTCACTTCGTAAAATCCCCGGTGCTTTGCAACAGCTTATCCAACAGCACCTCCTTCCTCCCTGCTGTCCTAGGGACATCTTCCCTCCTCCTCCTCCAGGCCATGCAAGACAATGTTTTTTTTAGGAGTGACTACATCCGAGGGCTTTGCTTTCTCCTGGGTCACATGAACGGTCCCGGCATTTGAAGCCCAGTCCCTGGATGGTCTCTACCAATTGACTTATTGCAGCCAAGACCGTGTCCCTGCAGCTCACTGATGTGTGTTTACACAAGACTGTGCAGCCCCTCCTTTACATAACCATTAATTTTATAGAAGGCATATAACAAAGATGGGCCTCCAATCTGTCTCCTGCCTTTGATCTGTGTGGGGTGCGTCGCCTGATGGGCCCAGAGCTGCCGGCATCGCTGATTTACTCTGCTCTGCGGACGTAGCTTCTGGAGCAAACAAAAGCTTATGTTTTCTCTCAGCGGTATTACGGTACCATTACAGGCTGTGCTGATGTCTGGTCGCGTTCAGTCTGGAAGGGCAGGAATGGCTAAAGGTTTGCTTGCCTTTAAATTTTTCTTTCAACATTAGCTAAACAGTTTGGTTCATGCAATCCATGAGTGCCCCAAACCCGCGCAGACGGGTAGGCGGGTTATTAAGGGTCTACAGAGTTGCTAATGGAAATAAAGTCCGTGTATTGGCAAGCTATAAGCATTGACCTTGTGACAGGGTGCTCACTCTGAAACAAAATCTCTCCAAAACAGTTCTCTCACAGAACTTTATTGTCATCCAAGCCAGACTCAAAAAACTCTTTTTTTTTTTTTTCCTGGTTTGGCATGAATTAGGATTCCTGGCTCTCAGTATGACCTTGTATTTGAAAATCAGCTTTCTGATCAGAAACCCTTTTGTTGTTTAGACTTGGCATACCAATAGGATAGTGACCTCAGCACCAACACCAGTGATGGGCAATTGCCAGACCAACCAAATCCAGGTTCCCCCTGAGCTCCTGCCCTAAATTTGGGTGGAGTTGTTTGAGTTGTTGAGCCTCCTGGCGGCGAATGTTGACCTTAGCTCTCTCTGTCAGTCACCATGAAGGTGCTAAACTTTATTTTTTTTATTTTAACCAAAAGGTACCCTTTAGAGGTAACATGTTTTGATCAACCATGATGAAAGCTGTGCAATAGTCTAAGAGCAGCATTTGACAGTGCAATTTTAGGTCACCAAAACTTGATAACCAAACTTTGCCAAAGTCCCCAGTATGAAAGAGTCACATTAAGTGAGAGGTTTCTAATGTGGAAAGTGTTTGTTCATCCAAAGTCTCCAGTTTCTTCTACGGACTTTCAGCCAGGGGCATTTTCAGGATGACGACGTATTCTGCAGGTGCTCACCCTGACATCCGCCTCCCGTGCAAAGAAGTGGTTGCTGCCTGTTATCTGTCAGCTCGCCTGTTATACTGCTTAGTTTTACTTCTTGGCACTTTACGTAAAGAGAAAAAAAAAAAAGAAAACATAGTGTCTATAAAGTATGGAAAATGTAGAAACCCCTGACAGTTGTATGGTGTGTCTTGCTTCTCCCACAGAGAGGAAACCACAAAATAGTGAGTCCAGGGGTTTCTTTCCACACACACAATATCTGTCAGGATTTTGAGGAATTTTCTGGGAACTGATGAAAGAAATGTGTTCTTTAAGGCCTGATATATACTGTACAACTGTTCTGTACAAGGGATATGCACTGCTCCACACTGGCAAGTTCCAAAAAGCTTTCAAAACTAAAAGAAACCCAAAGGATTTGAGGGAATTTCTTCCAAGAGGGCAGATTGGCTCCTATGGGAACAGAGCCAGAAGCAAAGGGGAAGATGTGCTTGTAGTAAAGGGAAAAGGTACCTGATGTGTTTAATAGCTGTAGTTTCCTTGTTAACCTTTTCATGCCTCTGCAAGATCACTGATGCTGGTGGAAAATGCTTAGGCATTTTAGCAGCGAAGGGGCTATTGCCTCCCCAGATTCAATTTTCTCGACCCCAAGGTGTGGGCAGGATGCGAGAGGGAGTCACACAAGTAATGAGTTGCCCGTGCTCAGTGGTGTCATGCTCATGGAGGGGACCCCTGTGTGCCAAAGGACCAAAGATGAGTGTCACAGTGTCAAGAGCCTGACTTACATGGCCTTCCCACCACAGGCCTTTCAGAGCCTGCCCTGCACTCATGATGACTGTAAGCAATGCTGCTAATTGTGGGGATACCTTAATTAATGAGCAGTGAGTTGTTGAAAGTGCATCAGCAAAAGGGAGCAGCATCAGGATCAACCTTAAAAGATGGTACAATGTGTTTTTCTAACCTTTCTTTTTAGTATTTATTGCATTAAAACATTTTTTTTTTTAATTTTTCTTCTCTCTTTCAGGTCCACCTGTAAGTACCAAATCTCTATGGTTTTAGAAGCTGTTGACAGAGTTTGCAGGGCATGAACTAGCAGTCTCCTGCCTGTGGTGTCTGCTGCAGTAGCCACCTTTGCAGTCCTGGGATCTCCCAAACAGCAAGTACTGCGGGTGCTCAGGACCCCTATTGGGGTGGGATTGCTTTTGGCTGCATAGCAGCTTCCAAGGGTGAGATGGGGGGAGCGTGGGGATGGAGACATGGCAAAGGCGAGGGGTGCAGATATCTGTGTGTTACCAGTCGGCCCCACATACCCTGGAGGAATTGACTGTGTGCACTTCACATGTGTTGGATGCCAGACTTGTTTGCGAAAAAGGGAAAGATAGATCGTAAACACATGGCGGGAGCTGAGCTGTAGGGACTTGTTCCCTGCTACTCACCCAGGCTTGCTGAACGTGGGTCTTCAAGTATAGCTGCACAACTATCAATTTCAGAGGAAAAATTGTGTTGACAGCTTCCTTTTCAAATGTTAGCTAATGCAAAACCTCAGCACAGACGATTTAGGCTTCAGAAAAATAGCTAGGTTGCTGCAGAAGTTTTCTTACAGCTATTAAGAGACTCACAGTGAACCAGAAGCAGCAATGCAAGGAATGAGGCCATGTATCGACATCTCTCAGGATTGTAAAGAAACGCTATATTGTCTCTAACACGGGTCCTTCCAGAGGAAATGGTTTATACTCGTGTACAATAGAGTAACTATACTGGGTTTCTGTAAAGGAACATGAGAAGTTAAACATACGGTAGTCATCTTTTGTCTGTTCACACAAAAATGTCTTAAACAGTTTGCAGATGACGTTCTGAGGAGAAGTAGTTGCTGCACAACCTATTTTCCCCTTTCATCAAGTTGAAATGCTATAGACTGAACTCCCACAGATATACGAGCACAGCCCAGTTTAATGACAACAATCTTCCAAAAAGTTGCACCTTCCAGGCCAAAAGGTCTGAAAGCATTTTACAGCTGGAAGCCCTGATCCACGCAAATTTCAGTGATAGCTTATCCCAGGGGCTTCCAGGACTGGCCGCTGAAGTATTTCAGTGTTAGCTTTGGGTTACTGGGAGGGAAGCACTGCTCTGGAGGGGGCTGCAAGCGGACTCCATCCAGGGCTGTTGCTGCCACTCCACCCTGAGCCAGAATATGTCAACACTAAAGGGATGGGGCGGGCACAAAATTGGTGGTGGTGTTGGTATTTCTATTACTGCCCTGAAATATTAGAGAGAAATCAGTAGGTCAACACAGACATCTCCTGGAGAGCCTTTGCAGTGTGAGGAAGACACACACTCCAGGCTTTCTCTGCAGCAGTAAGGGTTAGAAACGTAATACCGTAATGAAAGATTGAAGCCTGGAAGAAACACATGGGACCACCAGAGAAGTGCTGACAATATATGCTACCGTATCCCGGCTTATTGCGACCCCTGAACCTGTCTCTGCACGTAGACTTTCAGGACATTGAGGAATTCTACAGCCAATGGAAATAACAAGAGGAAGTCGGGCAGACCTAGCATCGTTAGCCAAAGTGGAATTTGTCCTGGGCTAACAGCACCCTCATCTCATTCAGGACCTCTGGGGTTTCTGATTGGCTGGTGTGTGAGACTGGCACAGGCACCGTCAGCAAAAGTTCACCGCTGAGGGGTCAAGCAGAAAGGAAATATTTCCCCCCGCGATATTTCTTGCAATTAAAAACGGCATGGAAACTCAACTGTATGAGCCACAGATCTGGGCTTCTGCCTGGCTGGTTGTCATACACATCATTCTAGATAGAGACCCCAAAGCACTGACAACCCCACCTCTCTCCCAGATGTTTTTCCCGGCTTACAAAACACAATGTGCTGGGCAGCAGGATTTAGCCCCCGGTGCTGGTGTCGGCTTGAGTGTGGGGATGGGCAGAAATACTTATTAGAAATGCACCGAGCCCTGTTTGTAGTCTAGGGCAACGAGGAGAAAAGCCAGGGAAACGGATGAGCAACACTCCAGCAGTCAAAGAAACCTTCATGCTCTCCTCTTGCCCAACAGATGTTCCCACCATTATTCTTGAACTCAGTCAAGGCTTTGGTGAAGGCAAGGGCAACCCGCAGTCATGTAAGGAATTTGGTGAGATTGGGACTAAATGGGGCAAAGGAAGGAAGGAAATGATGAAATCGTGCAATAGTCCTGAGGTTCCCGGACTCTTTTGCCGTCTGGACCACATCCGAAGGAAAAGATCCTCTCATGGACGTTTTCTATCCCATTTCTGAACATGCAACATTTCTGTGGCAACTGCAGCAATTCCATACATGAAAAAATAATATTTAGCAGATGGAAACTAAGGAAGAAAGTCAGAGCCCTGTAATTAGCTCGTTCTCCATGGACTTGCAGATACCTTCACAGCCCGTGTGGAGAGCTGTGGGTAGAGTCATGCCAAAAGGAGAGTAAACTTCACAAACAGATTAGGAAACCGAAGAAATCAGAGCTGATGGTCAAGGAGCTGTGGAGAGTCTCTTAACCATTCTGTTTCCTAAACCTTTACATGTGATTTCGTCTCTTTATCGAGCCCTCCCTTCAGAGTTTGAAGCTAACTTTGGCCGTTTCTGTGTATTCTGTTTCAGGGCCTTACAGGAAGACCAGGGCTCCCGGTAACTATTTCATTCTTTTTTTCATTCCCTCATGCCCTCTGTCTGGCAGTACTTTCATCAGCAGGCCTCCAGGGTTTGTAAACTGGGAGAAGGCAGTGATCCCGCATAGCAAACCTGATGTGGAATAGCATATTACAAACAGGACAGTGGCTCATAACAGAATAGGGACCGCAGGAGCTTTGTAGGACCAAACTTCTGGATAACATAATCCCTATGAACCCTCCTGCATGTGGGAAACACGCTACTTTTGAAGATACTTTTGTCAGCTTGAGTGTCTGGTTGAAGAGGTGCAGCATGCAGGATTCGTGCTGATGGGCCTTGCTAAGTTAAGCAGGGTTTAAAAGGCCTCAGTCACTCTGGGACAAATTCAAGTCAAAAATAACAGTAGCTGCATCTGAGATAGATAGTCATGAATGAGGGAGGAGTGCGGTTTTGGGGTTACATCTGCGCGCTTTCCTGGCGATGGCTCCCTGCTCCCCAGGCTGCTGCTCACCTGGAGACTGCAACAGTCGTAGCCGGCAGTTTCCTAATGAACAAAATGCAAACTGTGGTGCTGGCTCTCCTCCCGACTCAGGACAGAGGCTGCTTGTTGCCTTCCATGCTGCTCTAGCCCCGAGGTGGGAGCTGCAGGCGGTTTTGCATGACCTTGTAACCAACCTGTATGGTATCATCCACCCGTGAGTGCTCTTTCCTGGCTGCCTGTCACAGACAACCTCTCCTTATAAACATCTGGCATTTATTTGCTGTCGTACTGGGAGCTCCCCCTTCACTATTATTGCTTAGAGGTCTGTAATACTGCGCAGTCACATACCAGACACGGTGCCGTCATGTACCGCTCCAACACCAGGTACTTGCTGGAGACCTGACACAGCTCAGGCTCTTCCTGCTTGGGCACCAGCCACGACAGAGCCAGGAGAAACAGAATCAGCTTTTCCCTCAAACCATGAGGGAGATCAGCTTGAGCTCAGCTCTGGAGGAAAACAGCATTTAGGGGACTCAAAGCACAGGAAAACTCAGCAATACGTTCTCCACCAGCCACAGAGTAATCCCAGGGCAAGATGCTGACACCAGGAATTTTGCTCGCTGCCGGCACACAGAGATAGGCAAATATTAGCAAGACTGAGCACCCACCTAAAACCCTAGGAGAAAGCAGTTTCGCATAATACGTCATCTACAAAACTTAAAATCAAGCAGCTGTTTAGCGTTTCATCCATCTGCAAGGGATGCTTTTGCAAAGCATATATTGCTTTTCAATTTATCAAAACACGGGCTGCATGGAAAGGAATGTCCCCAACACTGAACGGCCCCCCAGCTCTGCAGAGGGAAGCGGCTGAACTTTCACCAGGTAACGATTTGATCCCAGGCTGTAATGTCTGAGTTTGGGATGTGTGGCCAAAGGAGCCTCTGCGTACACCCGGCAAAACAGAGTTAAGTGCATTCCACTTCCAGAGATTTCAGACTACGTTCACAGACGTTGGGACCGAAGATGGTGGAAGGCACAAAGAGGTGGCACCAATGGGGCTGGTGTCTCCATCTGCAGAAACCAGAAAACCAGGTTCACGGCCAGGGACACACTGTTTTACATAAGGAAACCCCAAACATTGCTGGAAATAGAACTGGGAGATTATTATCATGTCATTTCTGCAAAATATAGAGGAAAAGTTATGTGACTGCTGAAGATATAATCATCCAGTTCCTTTGCCAATCAGCTGCTGTCTTCCAAATCTGCACAGCCTTCAGTTTTGGTGACCAGGAATGCAGAGGAAATTGATTTCTTTTTTTTTTTATTTTTAATTGCATAGTTAAATTTAACTGTAAGAGGCAGAAAACTGTCTTGTAGGTAAGTGGCTGAAGAAAATTGCCACCGGTCTTGTGTTCATGTATTTACGAGGCTCTGTTCAGTGTTGTCTGGCCCAAAGTCATTCCCCAAACCACTGTTAGGATCGTTCACACCCTGCCAATGCACTGGAAAGTATCTCAAAGGGGTAGAGGACACTGAACACAGCTGCTCATATGTCTTCTTCCAGACGTGCTTTTTCCTGTGTCAGCTTGTTTTCCCACATTTTTCTTTTGCTTTTGGACAGGACCGTATTTTCAAGTCTAAGAGAATCCTGTTTTAAAGTGATAACTCTATAAGTAAATAGCTAACACACAGATGACTTCGGTTAAAGAAAGAGAAAAATGTGACAGTTGGCTACTGCAGGAAGTCAGTTCCCAGGACCCGGATTTTATGAAGTGTTAGAAATTGGGATTATACTTTGTTAGGCTGAAAATTCTTGCCCTTCTTTTGCTGCCTAAATCATCATATGTAATTTCTGTTGCGAGATGTGCTGGTTTGTTGGGTGCACAAGTGAACTGGTGTCTTATCCATGTTATTAAAGACGGGTTCAGGAAAACGCAAACACACTTTCCTTTCTAACTTAATCTCTCCCTCTCTCAAAATCCCTGGAGACTTGCACTGCAGCATGAAGCCACGTCTGTGGCATAGCTCATTTGTGCTGTTTTATAACCTTACCTTTGGCCAGTTTCCAATTGCCTCTGATTTTGCCTTAATTGCCAGGGAGACAAAGGTGCGATGGGGATCCCTGGGCGGCCGGTAAGTTGAAACCTTTTGCATGTGCCTTGTCCTTCCCATCCTCTTCCAACCCCTAAGATTTTGGGGGGGCTTTCAGGATGATCCTTGGCAGGTGTCAGTGTGAGCAAAGCCGCTCTCCCTGAGCCCCACACCTGAGGGGCTCTCCTTGTCGCAGCAGGGTGGCCAGCCCTGCAAACTGTGTACGTGTTTCCATCCCCTCTGCCGTATTGCTCAGGCCTTCCTCTGGTTCAACATTCCCCCACGCTGGGTGCCTCCTGCTGCCACCTCATGCGCCAGGTGGGCTTGCTAACCTTGGGCTTGCTAACAGCACCCCTGCCTGCCACGGGCAGCTGCCCTGTCCGGATAACCCTGCCCTGAACAAAGTGGGCCATCCCCTGGCTGGCTGAGCGCTGAATTTTGGAGCTGCTCTTTGCTCGGGCATCCCAGGGTGAGGATGGGGAAGAGGTCTGGGGCAGGAGCTGAGGCCACCCTACTCATCCCAGCCCCATAGCAAGGGTTTTGGGGTGGGGGAGCGTGCCCTTGCCGCTGACGCCTGTGTTGTTTGTGTCTTTCTCTCTCTCTCTCTCTCCCCTGCACCCTCTTGCATGTGGCTGCGACGGGTGCCACTGACCCAGGGACTAAAAGGGCAACCCGGAGAGAAGGTGAGTCAGCTCCTCCCAGCCCATAGCATCCCCGACTGTCCTCATCTAGGGCCAGCCCAAGCCTGCTGGTCACAGGCATGGCTGCTGCACCCAACTTTGGGCTTTCGTGCCCCTAGGCTGCTCCCTCTGTCCCAGCAGCGTGAGTTTATCTCCCATGTTCCTTCCAGGCTACTCAGCCTCCAAAGATGCTGCATTTCTTATTTATGACAATTTGCTCACAGTGTAAGAGCCAGTGGGGCCACACAGCTGCCCTTGAGGCTTCCTGGGTTTTAACCATTGAGTTTCTTCTCCACTGGCAGCTCTGCTTGCCCTAATCAAACTGCAGCTCCCCTCCACCTCCCAGGTTAGCCCGATCCCTGGTACAAGCCATAGTGAGGAAGAAAATGGCATTGCACACTCCTATTTCTGACATTGAGGGACGTCTTCTTCCTAAGGAAAACTGATGGTGTGGTTCAAGTCTATGGGATGCCCTCTCACAAACTCTTTGCCATGCAGCGAATCGATGTTTTGTACCTGCAAAGAAGTGGTAGTTTGCAAAGCATCCTCCTACTGGCCCCCATGTTTTGAAGTCTTTGACACGACGGTGTAGTTCAGTTTTAGTGTATTTTCCCCAGAGCTGTGAGTACCTTCCACCTGTGAGAGCAGTGAAATGGAGGTGTTTGGGGGGTGTGAATAGCTGAGTAACAACATGTAGAAACTAGGAAAGGGATCAATATTCACCTGATAGGGAGATCATCCGTGCTCTGCCATACAATGCCCATTTGCTCCTCTTCACAGGAGACAGAGAGAAAAACACAGCAAGGAAGGGTGAGGTAGTACAGAGATTCTCCTTCCTTGCTTTTGAGATACTGCTTGCTCATTGAAGCCAACCAACATTATCTAACAGACCAAGATTTCACCGCCTGAAGCCATCCTGCTTTTTCTCTGCGTGTCCTTGCACTTCTCTCTAGCCAAAGCTTTCAAGGGACAGCAGATAGATACAAACAAACAAGGGAAAACTCTTAATTGCCCATGCTTCCCCAAAGCCTGCATGAGAGTCCTCGGTCCTTGGCAGGCTCCAGCTTTGTTTTGCAGAGAGCTCTGCTTGCTCATGGGCTGCTTGGTTTATGGGATACTCCATCCCAAAGCTCCCCAGCCCTGGGCGCTTCTGGAGCTGCCTCTCAGGAATATGCCATGTTTTCCAAAGACAGGGACGTGTCCTGCCCATCGCACGTCGTGGGTGGCTAGGATCTGGAGAGGCAGCTGTTTTCTTTTCCAGAAAGGACTTCACTGTTTTCATCCACATCCCAACTGAGTTTGAGAAGCACACAAGCAAGGCATTTCTGGAGGCAGCCAGTGAGCTGCCTGCAGCTCCCATTTCCCTGCAGCCCAGCACATCACTTTTTTTTTTTTTTTTTTTTTTCCCCCTGCAGGACACAGTCCTCCTGGACTCTCAGGAAGGAAACGGCAAAGTTTTCAGGCCATCTTTCACGCTTGTAATGGGGCAGAACCTCTGTTTTGCCAGAAAGTGTTTTATGTGTTTGTAGTGTTCCTTGCTGTGCAGCTTCCATTTTCTGTCACGTCTGAGTAGCTCCAAACAACATCTTTTCTCCCAAAGTGTGGGGCAAGAGCTGGGAGTGGCCAGAATGGCAGCTGCTCCATAAGCCCTGAAGGTCTCACACCTTGAACACCCTCATTTAACCCTGGTCTTGATGGGTATATAATTGTCCTTGTATTTTTCGCTCCTCCTCTTCTCACCCCTTTTCCTCTCCCTTGTCTCTCTGCAGGGTGCTCCAGGAGAAGCGGGCATGTCTATCATTGGGCCTCGCGGTCCACCCGTAAGTGGCTTTTCTCTCTATTTTTTGACTGATGCAGGATGTGGGCAAGTCACAGGGAAAGACTTAGGAGGGGCAGTTAAGACACACCATCAGCCGGAGAGAGCAAAAACCCTCTATAATGTGGTTCCCATGCTGAGCCAGGCTTGGTTTTATACTGCTATTATATACTATATATAATGAAATTACAGCTCAGACTCCAGAACAAATGAGGAAGCCTTCCCTGACAAAGAAACCATATTCATGTATTTAAAAGGAAGAAGCATATTTCCTTCTTGCAACAGGACTGCTACCGCTTTGGGAGAAAATACACCCTTTGCCTGGCTGATCTCAGCCTTTGGCTTCATTAGCAGAGGGCAAACCCCCTGATTTTACAGAAGAGTGGGATCAGAGCTAAGCTGGTGACTAGGGAACTCACAAAAATGGGTAGTTCAGAGTTGTTCAGATGTCTTTGTTAAAAACCCATAATCTTTGACAGCACAGTTACTGCTATCTGGAAAGTGTAGGCAGGACTTTCCACACTCTTCCAGCAAAAGTGTCCCTGCAAGGTGCAACAAGTCAGCCAGACAAAACTTTTTGCAAGGATAGGGTCATAAAAAAAGACCGACATGAAGGGTTGGAACATTTATGTGCCCTAAACGATGGATGTTTCTTGCACTGTGGTTCAGCCATCAAGCCTCTGTTTTTGTGTGGATTCAGCCAGTCCTCTCCATCTCTGCACAGCCTCCACTGGAGATTTCCATGAAAAAAGACCCAGAGATTCAGTTCCCTCCCTCCCAGTGGGCGCTTCCGATTTTGATTAACCTGTGAAGAGCACCGTCCTTGACCTGCAGAGAGGATGGGCCGCCGGCAACTTTTGTTTCACAGCAAAGGTCAAGTGAGAGAGACCCAGGCAGTGTGAACACTTGGCTACATCTGGCTTTCCAATTAACTTTCCAAAAGCCCCCTGATAAGTGTTTCTAATAAGAAACACCTTTGCTGGTTCCCAGGCCCACCTGCCTGGCACGCTGGAGTTTGAGAAGTGACAGAATCAAAGCCCAGGGCACAGATGGGTCTCCCTGAGTGTTTTGTGCCCAGTAGATGGTCCATGGCCACGTGGCCAGGTGGGGAGGAAGGGCTGGCAGATGTCTCCATGCCCAGCTCTGAGCCCTGTTCCACAAACAGCAGATTTTGGAGGGTAAATGCCTTGTTGCTTTTGCTGTTTCTCACAAGCTGTAGCTCTCAGCATTCTGGATGGTGTGATTAAAGTAATTAGAGAGAAAAACTGGCAGTCCCTGTCACTGTAGGTCCTGCAGAGGCAGGCACCACTGTTTTCTTGAAGGGCACATGCCTGGTCTGCAGGACAATTTTTAATGTCTGCTTTGATTCTGCTGTTTTGCCTCATTGCTTTTACTGCTGTTTGAGAAAGTGCGGAACATGTTGCACATCTAAAGCAGCAGAAAATTTAGATGGCAAATCATATTTAAAATGGGCTTTTGCCTACACCAGTCAAAGCCCTGAGGTGCCAAGACTGGCACAACTCCACAATTCCACCCCCAAAGTCTACTGTGAAGATGATCCAGTTTCCCGGGGAGCTGGTGATAGGTCAAAAGGATGGCTGAGCACTGAAGACAAACACGGAAACCCTGGCCAAGGGGCCACTCGGAAAGACGTGGGATGACAAATAGTTTCCAGATTTTTGTTTCGAGGTTAAAGTTTTCGCTCGAGCTCTGAGCTGCTTAACTTCTGGCCAGAGAGGGACAGTGCACCGATAGTGGCAGAAACAGACGGTCTCCATGATTTGGCAGCTCCCGGGATTACATACGTCATACAATCAACATTTTAAAAAGAAGACAAGGAAAAACAGCCACCCAACAAAAACAGTCTCTTGGAATAGCTTGCTGCTGAACTGTTGTTTTGGCCTGATACCGTGCAAATCACTCTGCTGTCCTCCAAGGAGAAAGAGGCAGCAGTCTGTAGTCTACAGAGGAAGCCAAATTGCACCATTTCCAGGTTTTCTCCCTAATTCTTTTTTTAGCACTTCTTGTCTGGGGAGGTGTCCAACAGGGAACCAAAATTAATGAATTGTGGCTAGGCTCTTCTTGATTCTTGCCTTTTCAGAAACCAGCGGTGGACAGATCCTTTAATTTATAGCCTACCTTCCCTCCTGGTCACTAGCCAACAGGACCAGGTGGTTTTTATATGTATCTTGCAAAGCGAAGCTGACCAAGTTCAACTTTGCAGAACTGAAAAAACAGTGCAAATGTGATTAGGTCCTGTTAGCATTGTGTATAAAAACACAACTGTTCGGTGCAACATGAGGCATTTTGTGGTAGGGGCATCCCTCAGACTCTGGAAAGAAGTTATTTGGCCCCATCCTCTGAAGCGGTAAACCTTCACTGAGTCTCTCTGCAGACAGAGGGAGGCTGGAGGGGACGTAACCTGAAGGTGAGGGTTTTCCCTGCCAGTGTGACTGTGAGCTCTCTCCCAAGGGATTATCATTGTTTCACTGTGGCAGACCTCAGCCTTGCAGCCTGTCCCCTCCTTCCCCTCCCCTTCCCTCGGCTCCACGCAGGACCGCTCTGGTTAAGGCAGAGGTGCATTTCTTTCCAGAAGCAACCCCTTGTTTAAACCCAGCTCTTTCCTAGGAAACCTTTGTGGGACTCAAACAGTCCGGTCATGATATCGCAAATTGCCTAAGAAAGCATTTTATTCCCCAAAATGAAGCACAGAAGACCTGGGCTTTTTGGCATTGAAGCACAGCTTTCAGCAAAGGCAAGATGCTGCAGCGGTCACTCAATGAGCGTGGTACAGGATTTAGCTCATCCTGCTGTTTCCATCTACATGGCTATGCTTCCAGATCTGCTGAAGTCTGGTCCATACTGCTTCCTGACTTGGCTCACACAATTTTTGGGAAATTGAGATTAAAAATCCTTAAGTAAAGTGATATCTTTATTGGATACCCACAAATCTAGGGTAACTGTGACCTAAGATGTCACAGGACCCAGAAACTGATGAACTAAGAAAACTTGTAATGATTTTTTTTTTTTCTGTGTTTTTAAGTGGGTGATGAAGAAGCTGACAAACACATCCCAAGCCAGTGTTTGCTGTACCTGATCCCAAACTGGTAGCCAACACTGGCTAGCCAGAAAGAGGCAGAGGAAAGGACTTGATGCTCATGTTCCTCTCATCACACTAACTCCTTTTTCTCTTAGCTCTCAGAGGAAAAAAAAACAGAAAATAAAAAAAAAAATCCTCTCTTCTCCAGAATTATTTGTGAGGAAAATGAATGTGCTGGGACATGAGATTAGGGGAGGAGGAGAAGAGGGATGGCTGTATTTAGACCCCAGTGACCTGCAAGGTTTGTCTTGCACAGAGCAGCACCCTGCATTAAACACCTCTAGTTTATGGCAGCAAGAATTGCCATAAAATGAGCTCAGCCTCTGGAATATGCTCCAAAATCCCAGTGTATGGGCTAGGGACACCCATTTAATTAATGCAGAAACTTCAAGGAAACTGCTTGCAATCCAAACTGGACCCGCTCCAGCATTTTCTTGGCCCTGTACAAATTGGAGTGGGGATGAGAGATTTCCCCTCCTTCCCAAGATGCTTTCCCCTTGGAGGGGAGTTGGGTCTTGGATAACTCTTGAGAGAGTTGCAGGATAAATGGGCAGAGGCTGAAGGAAAGTCTCTGTAGAGAGGACTTAGGGTCCATCAAAATCCAGTTTCTCTAAACTGCTGTCTCCGTTTCATTCTTCCCAGGGACAGCCTGGAACAAGAGGTTTTCCTGGATTCCCGGTAAGTGTAACTGCTAATTTATGAGGTACGGATGTGCGATGTTACTAGGAAGCCTCATTAGTGCTTGCTGTATCTCATCATTTCTGTCTGAAACCCAGGACCTGATCTGATATCACTGGAAAAAGTAATTTTTTCTTAATTTGTTCTTTTTTTTTTTTTTTTTTTTTTTTTTTTTTTTTTTAATTTTAAGTGATACTTAGGGAAAAAAAAAAACACCAAACCAAAAAACCAACAACCAACCCACGCAGCTCCGAAAGGAAATTAATTTAAAAAAAAACCCCAAGTGTTAAAATAACAGAGTTGAAGCCAGATCTGTTCAGTCAAAGAAAACCATCATAAGAAATACCCCCAAACAAAGAAAATAACCCCTAGGTAGGTGAAATTCCAACCTTAATTGAGCCTTTGGGTGATATTGCAATAGCAGCAAGCGCCTGTGATCCAAACAGGGCCCTGCGTGATGCAGGTCACCTGGGGACTGTGCTAGGCTGAAGACCCTGGTTATGCCAAAGGGAGACAACAAAAAGCATGAGGGGAGATTCTTCTCCAACACTGTCACAGATGGGCAAGAGAATGGAAAACAAGCCCAGGAGAGGACAAAGCAAATTTCCTTTCAGTCCTTCAGTTGCTGGCAGCACTCTCTGAAGCATTGAGGCTGCTGGAGAACTGAAACAGTTGCTATTTATTCTTATGAATTTATCCTGGATGACTAGGAAGCAAGCCTAAGGCAAACACAAACACCCCCTGCGTCCCTGCTCCCGCCAGGCATCTCAGCTGCTGCTGCAGGACACGCGATGTGCCAGAGCAGGTCTGGGGGGGAGACTCTCACGCCTGGAAAATGAGAGGAATTGGCAGCCTCCGAGCTGTCTGACCGGGCTCTGTGGCTCTGCCCTTTGTGAAAAGGGAGGCTGTGAGCTGCCCCTGGGCTGAGGAGAAGCAGATCTCTCCAGGCCTTTGTGGTCTTTGGCTTTCGGAGGAGCAGAAAACAAATCAGCCCAGCTCATGAGAAAGTGCCGGGTGGGACAGCGCTCTGCAGAGCCTGTTTCTCATCAAATAGTACCTTCAACACGCTGCCGAGCTTGCATGTCACCTCTTCCCCGGGACACTTTTATTATTCTATCATTTGCAAAAATTCCTCTTCCCCCAGAGGTGGGTGCCTTTTTAAATCAAAGTCTCGAGAAAACCACTGATTTTCAACTACAGAACGGTGCAAAATTTGAAATGCTGAGGGGTGTTTTTGCAAATTGCCCAGTAATCCTTCCTTCCTTCCCTTCTTGTGTCCAGCGTTGCTGTTGAAATGGGCTGACAGTGAGCAGGTCCCTGCAGAAGCAATCAGGAAGGTGCGCTGGTACCCAGTGGGCCAGGGACCTGCCCGGGCTCCACGGGAGGGCAGAGGGAGTCACCTCACCTCTGCGTCCGTTGCCCAGTCTATGTAATCTTGTGATACACAGTGCTTGCTGGGGCAGACGGACAGACACCACAGTGAAAGAATTTCTCATAATTTCTCCTTTCTTATTTCAGGGCCCTATTGGCTTGGACGGCAAACCGGTAAGCAAAGAGCTTCTCTCAAGGCTTTCTGTCCTGCCCCCTGCTAGGTCTCACTGTCCTGCCAGCCTGCATGTTATAGAGTGTGTTTTGAAGAGGATTATTTTGCAATGTCATGCACATGCATGGATTAAAAGAACATTAGAAGGTTGGCAGGCAGGAGGATACCACAGATGCCTTGGGGGAGATGTAGGAGTCAGAAATTTAGGGAAGGCAGAGTGTGGCTGCTTCCTTTCTAGGCAAATCTATAAAATAGCACTTCACAAGTGCAGCAACCTGGCTGCTGCAGGGAAAGTCTTAGCAGGTACTCCCACCCTGAATCAGACAGACAGAGCAGGTCCCCTAGGCACCAGCCCTCTGCCTTAGACAGCTGACAGCTTCACCTGAGATTGACCCTACAGCTTCTTTGTCTTCTCTACTGTGCTGCGAAGAGTTGCGGTTAAAGAGGAAAGGACCCTAAAAACCTCCATGCTGTCCTTAGAGCTTCATTGTGATCAGCTGTGTAATAGAGAGAGAGAGACCCGAGTTCTTCCCGTCCTTCAGAGAGCTAGACACAAATATAGCTACTTCCCTACGAACCCAACTGACACGAAACCCATAGCTCCAGGCAGCCACTGAGCCAAGTTCCCCACCACGCTTCCTCTAGCTGTGCTGTAATGGAGAAGGAGCTGGTAGCACATACCTCTGGCACCTGATTTCCTACAGCAGGACCCTGTTTTTGGCATGAGGAACATCGTCCTCAGGAGAAACCCATCAGGGTCTCTCCTGTACTGCTCTGGGGAGGGACACATGAGCCCCAGCAAGGTGCAGCTGCATTCAGCTGAAGCTGCTCTGCCAGCCTGAGGGGGGCTTAACCATGTCCCAGCCATGCCCCGCAGAGCCTTTGTATTTTGGGTATCAGGTGTGTGATACATGTGTCCTGTTAGGTGTGTGAGCAAAGCTCCACATGCACGGTGTTGCATCTCCCTTGACAAGGGGTCGTAACTGCGGGTGCCTCCAGAAGCAGGGAGTGAACGGGTTAAGTCAACATCATCTAGAGATTGCAGTGGCCGAAGCTAATGAATGTTTTCTTTCTTTTGCAGGGTCATCCTGGACAGAAGGGGGAGATGGTAAAAAAAATAAATGTTTGTCTGTGGGTGACGCGTTGGTTTGAAATGACGTTGCCTCTCATCTGGAAATGAGCTTATAGGCAGGGTAGATCTTAGTTCAGCTAATGCACTAGCTGCGTCCCTAATTCTGTAACTTCATAATAGCAGTGCTGCGATGCACGACTGTAATTTTTACATTATGGCTATCAAATTCATCGTGTCACAACAGCAACTCTCTAGTTACTCATGGGATATGTTTTCCTTGCAGTTAGCAATTATGTTCTTTATATATATGCTGGGAGCTTACATTTTTCATGGTTGGCCTCATAGCAAAAGTAAAAGTTGATGGAAAGATTTCTGAAAACCCATCTGGCAGCTTTCAATTTATCTAACATCAACAAAAGCGTATTTTTTGTATTAAATGTTTCTCCCAGCCTCTTGAAGGTCTGTTTCATATGTGCATCACACTTGAAAATTATAAACTTAGGCTGCACTTGATGGAAGCGCAAATGCGGTCTTATTCCTCTTGACATCTCCGAATCCCCCCAGACATGAATATACCAAGCTAGCAGCTCTGTAGTCACCTTCGCTCACTGCAACACTGAATATTTTCTTCTGCTAATTCTGGTTTTTGAGTCTGAGTGTCAGTATAACCCTCTGGCAAGCACATGTTGAAGATCCCCCCTCCCTGCTCCTCGGCAGAGGGGTGAGCTGACATCCCCCTGTTGCACAATCCTAGCTCAGGCAGTTGCAGCCCAGGCTTCAGTCCTGGCTGCTTCTGGTTCGATCCCAGTGCGTCGACTGAGGAGACGCGCTGTCAACTGAGGTCCTGGGAACAATAAGGGTGTGTTTTCCTGATGATTTTTCCTCTCTCCTTTTAATAATTCCCCCCCGCGGTGCAGCCAGAACATGTGTGCATTTTCACTCCTCCAGAGTAACAAAGGGAACCCAGATCTCTCTTGGGAATTTTCTCCACAATTGTTTTTAAAAGCTGAGTTTCCACCTACTCCATAAGCTGAGAGTTTTTGTCTTCTTGTCACTGTAAATGGGAATCCGTCTCGCATTCACGACTGTGTTTCTTTAAAGGGTGCTGCAGGTCCCAGGGGACAACCCGTAAGTATCCCATCTCTTGCAATCCCACCTCTCCCTAATGCCTTTCCCCCTTGCATGCACTGAAGTCCTTCATTTACTGAGGGCTTTTATATCACTTTTCTTTTGTAGGGACCCCCAGGACAAAAAGGAGAAAAGGTAATTTTAATGGGAGACGTGTTGAAAATGAAATCCAAAATGTGAGCAGGGAAGGGACTCGGTGGACTCAGTGCTGCTTGGTCTGACTTTGAGTGGCTGAGAAATCCAGCAAGAACAGAGGGCTCTGGGGATAGGGGACGGGAGGCAGGGTGTGCAGGTTGGCATAACTGCACTGGATTCAATATAGTCACAATGATTTACACCTTCTGGATCTGACCCCGTGTGTCTATTTTGATCCTCTCTGTCCGTAGTTTAAACCCTTTCCTTTTAATCCCTTTCTTTCACAGGGTCAGTGTGCAGAGTACCCGCACAGGGTAAGTCATTAGTGTTATTATCGGCTGTGCCGTGCCTTCCTGCATGTTAATCCTCCTTCGTTTGAATGGCTTTTTGTTGGAAATATAGATCATTTCATTAACAAGATGCGTCACTGGGGCCCTGAGGGCAGCACTTGGCTGATTGATGCGTTTCACAGAAAAGCAGCAGATAACGTTTTCCAGGAGGGATGTTGGTTCTCCGGTCTATTCCTGCCCACCGGGGTTGACCCTCAGATAAGTGCTGTCACTGCTGCTTCCTGGAGACCCTCCCAGGCTCCCTGCTGGGATGGGGAAGGTCCGTGTCCTCACCCCAAAACCCTAGGGTTTATGGAGGAGCAGAGGTCATCCTCTCACACCTCGTGCTGCTGCACCAGGTCCGACCTGCTTCCACAGCCTCCGCTGCAGTTGTGTGGCCGGGAGTTTGTGGGATTTGTGGGGAAACTCTATCATCCTTCCTCCCTTTTGCTTCTCCCTCAACAAGGGGAATTGTGCTCCCTACCTGAAAGTAACCCTGACCACCCCTGGCCACAGTGCTCTGGCTGGTCCCTGGTGGGCTGGCCCCTATGCTGGTCCCTCAGCCTGGTGGGCTTTCTGCCTGCAAAGAAGCAACAGAGAGGGAGGGTTGATGCCAGCAGCCGTTTAATGAAAGCCAGGATGTTGCCCCACTTGCCTCTTCATCCTGGCCTGGCTGGCATGTACCACAGCCAAAAGCGGAGAAAGTACATCATGGGGTTTGAGGAGATTACAGTGGTAAAATTTAACCAGCTCTAAAAACAAACAGAGCGCTGAAAATCCAGTGGAAATGCATTGGAACGACATCATATGAAGTGGCTGGAATTTGTAATCTGGGTGTACAGGGAGACAGGCTTAAGGGCTTTCTGTTTATTTTTGACGGCCTCGGGACAATTAGCTGGGCTCTGGTCCCTGGCCCTGAGGAGCAGGGCCCTGGATGCTCTGAGCAGCAGAGGCAGGGGAGAGAGATCGCCTGGCAGCACGGGAGAAGGGGGCCGTATGTATGTGCCCGTCCCTGTACAATAATAGCTGGTCAGCTGTGTTTATTTAGGCTAGTCGGCTCACTAGATTGTTATGTTAAAAAGAAGCTAACAACAATGTTCACCCCAGCGGTGTCCTGGGTTCCTGTTACAGCCCTTGGCTCCGACTGTCCTCAGTGCTCAAGGTGAAAAGCAGCGGCAGGACCCGCAGCAGCACTGGGAAATGGAGATGCAGATTGTGCATCACTGCGAGTAGCCTGGGCTCAGACCTGGAGGCAGAGGCACACTGGTTTGGTGGGCTGGGATTGTAGGCACCCCCAGGTGACACGCTGGGAAGGGTGGGGACAAAGCCTCACATCCCAGCAAAGCCTAGTGACATTCCTTGGCTCTTGTGGAGGTGCTTCTGGTCTCATGAGGCAGCAAGCTCAACATTTTAAAAAGTCCATGAGTCGTGCGAAGGCAGAGGCATGCTCACGGGAAGGGTGACTGTCCTCAGATCAGCTTGAGGGTGGGCTGTCCTGAAGGATCTGGACACAGGCTGCAATTTCAGGAAGCTGAAGGCACAAATCAGCCAACAAAGGTGCAGTTCTCTCTCTTCCTCCCAAAACAAAAACAAGGATGAGCCTTGTAAAAATGCCACACATTTGACTGAATTGCGATTTGCTCTTGATTTACTGTTGACAAGGTCTTTTGTCAGATATTCTAGGTGACAAAATGAAAACCAACGTCCTGAAAAAACAGAGATGCTGTTTCAGTTTTGTTTTGTCTTTGTTTTCTTAGGAAGGAAATGTAAGGTTAGGATGTATGCCTTGGCTCTTCTTGTAGTTTCCTATTTTTTTCTGTATGACTCTGTGTGGCCTGCACTGCTGAGAGGGACAAGCCCAGGCGAGGGGCTACCCATTCGGTGTGAGCTGGCCACTCAAGCTACTCCAAAGTGCCACCCTGGGGAAGGGTTCTCAGCTCAGGGAAAGGGGGAACCAGCCATGCTCCGTCTGCTCTCAGAAATGTTGTGTGTCTAACTGACCCTATTTGTGTCATGTGTCTTCACTGTCCCCTAGGAATACCTAAGTACCACCCTTGCAGCCCTGCGCTCTAACCAGATCCTTACACTGAAGGTTTGTGGGTAATGATCTGACGGGATTCAGTTCTGATGCAAAGGCACGAGGGTACAGATCCAATATTGCATGCTGCCTTCTGAAAAAAAAACTTGCTGTGGGACACAGAGGGGGCAGGGCAGGAGCTGAGTGGAAGAGGCTTCAGGTTTCTTCTGTGAACTCTCCCTCCCTTGTCTTGTCTCGCCTCTGTTTTCAGGAGTGTTTTTCTCCATTTTCCTCCTTATCCTTTCCAGCATCCTCACTCTGATCCCCTGTAAGCTGTATAAGATTCCAGACACGCTTCGGCACTTGAGGACCCAAGCAAAGCCAGCTCAGCTGGGTCTGGATCACTCGTGCAGACATGCTAGGCACACCTAGCGTGGGGGTGTGGGATTTACAGCAACATCCCCCTCGAGGAGATCAGCCCAGGCCCAACCGCTCTCTTGAGCTATGGGGCCAGTCTCCTGCACTGCCTTTTAGAAAGAGGAGGATTTCTTTCAGATAAAACCAGCCTGGCTGATTTTCCAGCAGCACTGCTTTTGTTGAGATAGCTTGTGGCTCTCTGGATCTGTACATTCGAACACAACTGCCTGATCACAGGGTGGTGATGCTGCAATATTGGGTTGCTGCTTCCCTTTGGAACAGGACTGGATCCTTGCTTTCACCGCAAACACGAAGGACAATGTTTAAAGGGATTACAGTGCGCTGCTTGGATGTGTCTTGTTACTATGGTGGGAGACCTGTGGGCACACCTCTCAGATCCGAGCGCACAGCTCACATGGGGAAATGTTGCACACAGGGGCACATTTTTGTGCCTGAGCACAGTAAGCCTCTTTCTCTTCTCCCTGTGTAAATCAAGAGCAGCTTCAACGGAAAACTGATAGGAACAGGAAAGTGGATCAGGCCAGAGGAGCATTCCTGGGCCTGGAGCCGGCATGGTGGGTGCCAGGGTGACAGCAGCAAGTGGAAACTGGATACAGCAGAAGGATGAACAAATGCTCCTGAGCTTTAGTGCATTTGATTTCTGTGTGTCCGGGTCAGCTTTGTGCCCTAAGGCAGCATTCCTGGCTATAAGCAGTCAGAGGGTGATGTTACCATTAAACACTGAAAAGCAAAGTACAGGCTCCCGAGGCAATACACTGCCCAGGGCTCAGGCACCGAGGCCTGGTCTTCTTCCTCGGCCATGATGGTTGTGTCGGCCAAGCTAAATGAACCATGCCAGGACCTCTTCGCTGGCTCTGATGCCCGCTGCTGACTCCAGCTCGCCGCTCCCCACTCACTCCCTTTCACATCCCCAGGAAGGACGAGGCCTGGAGAGACACTGTGTTTCTTGTCAGGGAAGGTGGATAGAACTAGGAAACCGCACTTGGAAAACTTGGAGAAAATGGTCATTTTGATAGTTGCCTCAAATCTGATGATGAGAAATTAAGAGAAACAGTCCCGTCACGGGAGAGCTTAGCAGAGCCAGTGGGGAGGATGTCTTGCAGTAAATCCTGCCTGAGGAGATTGGCAGAGCTGAGTCAGAAATCCCCTGGGTAAGTTTTATTTCCAAGCAGAGAAAGCGATAAAAGCTCTGTGCAGTGGGAGCACCGGGTTGGCGAGTGGCCATCCTGCACCCGCCAGGGCTGGCCCGTGGCAAGTCCCCCTGTGAGCAACCGCGGCACGGAGGAGCTCAGAGGTCTGCCAGCAGGTACCTGTGCTGCGCGGCGCTCACGGCGGGGTTTATTTTCACAGCAATCTCTCTGTTCCCCTCTTCTCTGTTCTCTCCCCTGGCTGCTCTCTGACTCTCGGTGCCCTAATGGCCTCCTTTGCCCCACGACCTTCTGGTTTGACCTTCTTCAGCTGTTGCCTCTCCTCAATTCAGTGCGGCTGGCTCCACCTCCGGTCATAAAGAGACGCACTTTCCAGGTAGACTTCTCCTCCTTGTTGCCTGTTTCTAAGTTTACCCTGATGCTTGCAATTAATCAGCTTGCTACCTGTCTTTCTTCCCCTGCAGAGGGGTTTCCACGAGGTTCAGGCAGAGCTGAGGGGACTTTCTTTGAAGCGAAGGAAATCTTTGATGTGATAATGTAGCTAAAGAGAAATGCAGCGAAGCCAGTTTTTTTAAACTAAAAGAAATGGGCCATGAAACAGTTCTCAGGACTGTCAACAAGAAGTCTCCCACCTTAAGGAATCAGTTCCTGCATATTCAATCTCCAGAAGAGGTTAGAAACCTCTTGCTGAAATGCAGCTAATGTCTGTGAAATTTATCTGAGATGAATGAATAGGCAAATGCTTCTTCTAAGGGCTAGTCTGGCCTGAGACACTTGGGAAAATGTGTTTAAATAAGCTCTTACAATGGTTTCATTAAATCGCATTAAATCTTTGTGTAAACACATTTATTTTGGTTTCCAGGGCTATAATTCATGTTTAGTTTAGTTTATTTTGGGAATTAATTCATAAAATGAATTCTGGACGTATGAATAGTGAATAAGAGTGTCCATAGTCAGAGTTCATGTGGCTTTTAATGAGCCCACTTTAAGGTCCCTCGTTCCATCAGTCGGGATTAACTTTCCCGTGTGGACAAACCGCTGTAATTACCCCGGTGAAGTGTGCTGGGGACTCTATTAGTGGCTGGGTTTTGTCACCTCGCTGCCTGTCTAGACAGTCAGATGCTAGCAGGGAGCTGCAGTCTGCAATACAGGCCTTTACCACGAGGTGCCTGGTCCTTGCCCAGCGCTGGCAGAATCCTGACCTTACTGCTTGAGCCTGTGGTCTCCAGTCAGTTTCTATCGATTCAGTGTTCACACCACACAAAACCCCACGGCTTGCACTGGTTGCCCTTCAAAGTGACAGTCTGGAGAGCCAGGCCAAGGACTGACCTCTTGGGAAGGCTTTGAAAGCTGAAGTTCGTATCCAGAATGAAGTGGGAAACTTGAATAGCTGCCCTGCGTCCTGTCGTCAACCAGGGCTGCAAATTCCCTCTGTCCCCAGAGGCTAACTTCACCGGAGAATTTTGCCATGATTGGTTTTGCTGTTGCTGTGTTCATTCTCTAAGTACAGCAAAGTGTAATCCACTCCTACAGATCTGCCAGCACTAGGCAATTCCAGGAGCCCAGCATATGAATACTAAGAAAAAATGTGAGGCTGCAAAATAAATGTTAGCACCTGCGCCTGAAAGAGGAAAATGCTGCTGCTGCTCTAAGCACATCAGCAAGAGCACTTTGCCCAAGGCTTAGCAGAGACACGGGCTGCACTGAGACCTGTGTTAGGAGACTGAATAAGCATTGCATTGCTGGGGCACAATCAGGGTGACTAACTGGTGTTTAGAAGAACTGAAAAATAGCTCCAGTCCACAGCTAAAAATATAGAATGACATCTGATGAAAATGACACCTGACCTCCCACTTACTGTATCCACTTACCGTCCAGTTAGATCTGTGGGGGTCTTGTGCTGAATGCATTAATGAGACTATAATGATGTGGTAATTAATAACGTTTAGCACGTTTAGGGACCTGCATGGATGGGCACTCGCTCAGACAGAGCACGCTCTGTCCAAGGCAGCAACGCAAAGGTGATGTCAATGGGAGTTTGGGTGAGCCCCTTCCAGCCCCTCCCCGTGCTGGGGCAGGGCTCCTGCTCTCCCCGTCTCCCCAGCCCCTGCCAGGCTGCCAGCAGCAGTTCCCAGCACCATGCTGCATTTTAGTGCCCTAAATCTGGAGCATGGTCTGGGCTGACAGAGAGCACCTGAGGTGGGAATAGAGGAGGACGAGCCAAAGTGAGGCAGGCAAAGTCCTCTTTGCCTTCCCATGGCGCACTCATGAGTGGGGGTGCTATAAGATGCAATGGGAAGGAAGTCTCTGAAGCTGGGCTGAGAGGTCAGGGCAAGAGGAAGTCTAGAAATACACTCCAGTGTTCTCCAAACCTCATATCTTCATTGGATCCAAATTCTTTCCCGAATTTAAAAGCTATGAGACCATTTACAGGATGGGTGAATAGCACTGAGTATGGAGAATAGGGAAGCTCAGGAAGGACCGTGTGTTCTCTTGCACGGGCCACAAGGTGAGCCAGGATCCACTTACAAAATTGGGAAAAGAGAGGACACCTTTCCTGCCTGGCCCAGCAGACTTCCCAGCGTGGGCTGAGGGTCGGGCGACGAGGCGGCGGTTCTTTTAAGGAGAAGGGCTGTTGCTCCACACATCACTGAGCTTCCCATGAGCCTGGCCCGCGTGCTGGAAATTTTCTTTTAAATAGAGCTCATGGCAGAAGGGTTGAAATTTGCCACTTATTACTTTCATTTATCATTCTAAATAAAGCAAACATCCCTGTATCTGCATGTTTTACTAAAGACAGCCAGGATAAACAGCACACTTGGTAGGAACACATGCAGGGGACAGATTTCATGCATTCTCCTGCACATGCAAGTGCGTGAGAGCAGACTTAGTTTTTACCCAGCAGCAGCATATGAGGCTGTAGAGAGGATAAATGCAGCAGAGACCCAACTGCACACCCATTGATTTATAATTGAGAAACAACCATGTTTGATGTCTAGCTTCCCGTGGATCGACTAAGGAGAATTTTTCAAACTTAAATTGGGTCACTAGCAGTAGGATGTCATGATATTTTATCTAGGGAGGAGGAATGGGAGGGGAGCCCATGAGACGAACAGCTTAGCGTGGGTGCCATGGTGCCTTAGGAGTTCTCTGGATTCATCAATTATAGATCAGCAGTCTGGTATTCGAATGTGGCGCTTCCAACCCACTGTCTCCTCAGCGCCGCTTGGTCCCAAGTCCAGGTCCTTTGGGCCAGATGACATTTCTGAGGCATGAGCCACAGCCACCAAATGGCTACTGAGGGGCCTGGGGAGGAACCGGCTGGAACGGCTTCATTTCAGAGAGCTTAAAATGGCAGGTGGCTCTGCACGCACTAGCTGCTTAAATCTTACAAAAACAGGCTCTGCCTGGTGTACATAGGCCTGTTTTGGGCGGGCTCCAGAAATGCCATGATGATCGTGTTATTTTCTCTTGGTTTTGCGGAGTTTCTACTTTTGGTCCTTGGCAAAACAGAGGGAGTGTTGCCCAACAATTATAGCACAGGCGAAAAACAGGCTGAGGTAAGACACTGTGGCTCTGCCTGGAAGCGCCAGTGTGGTCATAGGAGGCTTTGCTTCACATGTGACTGTCAAGTGCTTTGGAAAGCGTCCTGAGAAGCTCAGGAGATGTTGGTCCTTGACATACAAACTGTACTTGACTGACTCAATGAAGAAAAAGATCTCTTTAGACTGCTCAGTTATCTGTAGATCCCTTTCAAAGAGAGCTTTGACAAGGTGGCCTCAGACGTCTTTGCAAACCGTAGGGTGCTGGCTCCTGCTGCCTGGGCAGCCCAGCCATCCTCAGCAGGGCTCTCCCTCCCTCTTGGAAACCTCTCCTGGCACTAACTTGGGACTTGCTTCTACCTCTTCTGCTTCAGCCAGGCTAACCTGCCTCGGGCCCTTGGGGCGGTGGTGTGAAGGGTTTGCTCTGCCTGCCGATAACCCCTTGTTTTAACAAACCTCAGGGTGAACAAGGACAAGCGGGAATCCAAGGTCCCCCAGGGCCCCCTGGCCCACCAGGGCCCACTGGACCAGCTGGACCCGAAGGAACCCCAGGACATCCCGGGCCAATTGGGCCACCTGTAAGTCCAATTACAAAAAAAGCCGCCTGCTTCCTCTTTCCCTAGGGCACAGACAATTTCCTCGGGCCTTTGTTGCCTCTTCTGAAGCCAAGATAGCCATGGGCAGGAGATTTGCAGGGGATGTGGATGTGTGGGGAAGTTCCCAGGAAGGAGGGGGTGTGGGAGGGAAGGCAGAGGTGTTCACCCTAGCTGCTGCTATCTGGACACGCATGTGTGAGTGGGTGACATCAGCGTTTCCTCCTCCTCAGCTTCTGCGGTCGGCCACGGGGAGGAAGTAGCACACAGGGTGTAATTGTCCTGCTCACAGCAGAAACCTGACTGATAAGAATCCCTGTGACCTCTTTGAAGTCCTGCCCCCGTCCTGTGCTCAGGCTGGCAGCAAGCAGCCAAAGAGGGCAAAACCAGAAGCATCATTTACAATAATACCATTGCTAAATGGCAGGGGCCAGGGCAGGGAATCCTGTTAATGTGCCTCTCTCCTTTGCAACAGGGCAGAGCAGGAGAACCTGGGAAGCCTGGCAGAGATGGAAAGGTGGGTACCAGAAACCAGCTCCATTCCTGGGAGCTACGGATAGGAACATAGCACGCTGGCCCTGCAGCGACTGCAGCGTGAAAGGAGGTTCCACCTCCAAGCGTTTTCAAAGCCTGCTAGCAGGACAAGCAAGTCTCGTCCTCTGAGGCAAAAGCACCTCTCCACACATGATAGAGGGGTCGGGTGTCCTGCCAGTGTCCTTACACTCTCTGAGCTCTGAGGAGCCAAGGGTGCCGTGACTAAACATTTGAACTGCCATAAGCAGGCAACATCAGGTGTGGTGTACGCATCAGAGCATATCTCGAGTAGTTAGCTCCTTCCATCTGCTCACATCAGGAAGGCAGCTCCTGCCTGGATATTTTGTTTATTTATATTTACATATACATGTCTGGTATGCTTCATAGTTCATATCAGGTAAATTGTTTGGTTATTTCTCCTTTAAAAACACAAGTGGTTTGTTTGTTAATATATTCTCTCTGTTTAGCTTGTCAGAGGAAATGCCTGGTTTACTCCAGAGCTTCACAAATCAGCTCGGAACAAGTTTCCCAAGCAAAGACAGAAACAGAAAAGATTCTGGAGCACAATGCATAAGGCAAAGCAGCTTTTTGGTCTTCAGATTCAGTGACACCAGGCCTGGGGGGATGGAGCACTATGGGCAGGAAATTATTTGGGTGTCTGGGTTAAGATAATATTAATTTACATAAAGAGTAGATTGGGGATGTTTGAGCTCACCAGTGCAAATCATCTCTGTAAAGGGGGATTTCAAACCAAAGCACTCAGCATCTCCCATCACTCTGCAGTCCACGTAATTTGGACGTTTGCTGACTTCAGTGTCTGTTTTGATTTTATCTCTACAGGGCTTACCTGGACCTCCTGGACCAAAGGTGAGACAACTCGCCTCACTCTAGGGGTAGCAAGGTGGTAACGAAGGGGAATGCTCCTGGCAAGGAGAGATGTGTACGTTTTGGTGGGTGGAGGAGAGGGAAAGGAGATTGCATCTAATAGCTGAGAAAAATTTCTAACCCAGCTCAGTATAGCCTTTGGGGCCCAGCCTATGTGCTGACTCATGGGTTTTGTCCACGTCTGAGTTGCATCTTGACTGAGCAAGGCACGCCTCATCAGCCCCTCTTGCAAAATTCTTTGCCACACACAGCTTTATTGGCTTCTTCCATTCTCAAAGCATTTACCAGCACTTCAGGAACTGATTTTGCAATGCTATTGTTAACTCTGCCACATTTTCCCATTTATTCACTTGCCAAAGTGCGAGGAGGGGGGGATGTGGGGGTGTGGTTGTTGTTGTTTTTCAGCTGCAACCACCCACCCCCATTTGATTTTATTTGAGATATGTAGCCAGGGTGAGGAGCTAGGGACCGCAGAGCTGGGGCACAGAGCTGGCATGAGTTATCCATTGCGCCTCTCCTGCTAGGGCTCAGTCTAGTGCAGGGAACAGTGACCCACGGGTCTGAAGGGTCAGGAACTCAGTAGAGTCACTCTGAGCAAAAGGTGAATTTTCCTCATGGAATGCCCTTCCATCCCAGCATCACCCCAGGAAAAAGCACAGGAATTTGTCCTTCTCAGGCCAAGCCTCACTTTCTTTTGTCTTTCTGCCTTTTGCAGGGAGACCCTGGGATTCAGGGATACCCAGGCAGAAAGGTAAGGAGGGGATCTCCAGTATTGTTAAATGAATTAAGTTGCACTGATGCCTTGCGGGATGACCGCTGCAAGTCTGTGGACTCCTCTGGAGTCTTCTGCTGAGCTCTGCTCCTGCCAGACACAGGCCTGCAGATCCCCTGCCATCAGCCACATGAGGAGAGACTGGACCCAGAGATATCTTTAACTCTCCTGTAGCTGTGGTACAGTCGTCTCCCTGTCTGTGTACCTCTCTACGCCTACTTCCAGGCTGAAATCCACCTCTTGTGCACCCAGACCTGAACAGGAGGCTGGAAAGGGCCAAATTCCTGGCAATGTATTTCTCTCTGGAATAAAGCAGGACAGAATCGATCCTGATCCAGGTTAAAAGGCAGAAGCTGGCAATGCCTGAATGTCTTCAGCAGCAGCTAAGTAACAGCAGGGTTGTGAAGCCTAGAGGGTGTAATGAAGAGAGAGAGAGAGAGAGAGAGAGAGAGGGCAAAGACACAAAGGAAGATCAAAGGGGAGAGAGGGGATGAAGAGATACTACTAAAGAGATGTCAGCTGCAGAAGAGGACGGCGAATGTTCCTAGGAGGCAGTGTCCTGTGTCCTGTGTTATCTCCACATTACTTTATGGGTGCTTTGTGAGCAAAACGGCAAGACCTGAGAGCTTTTTAATTAGTTCTGTATAAACCGAGAAGTTTTTGTTATGTCAGGAAGTGGAAATTACAGTCCCCGCAGACCACAGCCCACTCCTGCAGACAGACACAATTTATTGCCGCTTCTTCCAGTGAACCATCGTTTTTTCCATTAAGAGCCCATCCTGTTCTGAGTGCACTGGGCAGGCAGCTCTCAGCACGCAGGAGCAGTGAGGGGGTCCCTGCAATGACCTCACAGTGAGGGCCTCTCCTACCAGCTCCTCTTACATGAAACAACTTGCCTGGCTAATTTACTTACCAAAGCGAAGAGCCTCCACTGATCTTGGAGGAATGAGCCTGAGGTTGTGACCTTTCTCTGGCAAAGGTGGAAGGGATGGATGAAAGTAGGGGAGAAAATCCTCCCTGGTGTGTGGGTCAGGGGAAAAGGGAAAAGAGGGCAAAGAGCTGAACAAAGATGTGAGCTCTGATATGACACAGGATTGTGGGACCACTCCCTTCAATTCATATGTTTTGCACTCTGATTATCTTTCTGGACACAGAATGGTGCTCCTCTCCCAGAGATACTCTGTGTGGGACATCCCTCTCACATCTCTGATGACTTTTCAGGCAGCCACAGGCTCCTTTTCTTGCTGCTTACTGTGTTTGCTTCTTCCTCCTTTTTTCTTTCTTCTCTTCCCCAGGGTGAGGTGGGCGAGTCAGGCCTGCCCGGTGCGCGTGGCCTCCCTGGAGCTACTGGCCCTAAGGTAACCCTTGAACTCAGAGTCAGTGGGGCCGTCTCCCAAGGGCAGATAAGTGGCACACAAGCCCAGAGACAACTAAAGGACTATAGAAGGTCAGGGACTGGAGGCAGTTCTCTAGAGCTTGATATAAACCATATAAACAGAAAAATTTGCTCCTCCTGTAAAGGGCCTGGGTGATTTTTGGCTGGAGCAATTCCCTGCTGTCCTGAACCGGGGCCAGGTTCAGCCCTGCCTGTTAAAGAATAAAATGTACCTGGCCTTTAGAGGCTTTTGCATTAAGGCTGGGAGAATGAGGATACTCTGGTCCAGGAAACGATTGGATGGTTCATCTACACCCAAAACATGGAGGAAAGCGTTAGTACAGTGACCTCCAGCACCCACTCCAGCGACGTAAACTGCCTTGCACTCCCAGGAAGGGGTGGGCTGCAGCCACTGTTCAGGTTGCTGCCCTTATGATCAGGAGCCATTTCTCTCTGGAGGCCTGAGGCTGCGTTTAGCACATACTCCCTCTTTCAGCTACTTTCTCTTTGGCCCTCGTTGTTAGCACTACACTGCTTGCTCAGTTTCTCTTTTATGTTCACTGCACCTCTCTGTTTCCTCTCTCTCTCTTTCTCCTTTGCTGGGCAGGGTGAAAAAGGGGATGCTGGCATAAAGGTAGGCACGAGAAATACGGGTTTCTAACAGGGTAGATCATCTGGGAGATACCGCTCCTTGGGCTGATGGGTTGTAGGAGGAAGTTGGGTCTGAGGCAGCTCTGTGGGGCATTTAATGGAGCACACATCTGTGCTCTGATTAACCACAGGCAGACACTCCAACTCAGGCAATAAAATCAGCCTTTATCCATTTGGTGGAATTCGACTCTTACCAAAGGCATGTCTCTGACTATGAAGCTTCCTAATGATTTGTTACATCTCTCCATTTGATGGGCTAGGCTGGGGTTTCCTCATAAAATCTGGTTAGCTGACGCATCAAATCCTCTCAAACTCTGCAACTCAGGCTGGGGTTTGGCACCAGGTTTTTTTGTCTGTTTCTGGACACTTTTTACAGGCTCATATGGTCTATGCCCAGATGTTATCTATTTGACTGAAATTTACTGTACCCATATATTTAAAGTATATTACTCAATGTAGACTATGCTTAAAGCATTACAACATTGGCAAGTGTTCCTGACAGTCAGAGCACACTGTCATGCCATACATCTTAAACATCATGAGAAAAGACTGGTCCTGTAATATTTTGAAAGGCATTAGCAGTGACACATACATCTCAAGTATTTAGTATGTGGTATGCATCTCATTTCTCGTGCAACATATACACTTTCTATATTTTTTCCATCTGGGTGGATTACTATTTGAAAGGATGAAAGGCCCCTTCAGAACTTAATGTGGGTGCGTTGCATCGAGTTTAAAGAAATGTTCTTTGGGAATGCAGGCTCTGGGTTCATAGTTGAATAGAAGAGCAGCGATTGTCTTCCTACAAGAAAACTCCTCAGAAATACTGCGGTGCATGTGAAGTCCAAATGTTCCCCCATGTCCATCTTCACATCAGTGTAATTCTGTCAAGCACAAAGGCGTTGCTTCTGGTTTGTGCCAGTGTAAATGTAAAACAGATTTGCACCCAGAAATAATGTGTTTTGGGCTTAGGAGTTTGTTTGCTGCTGTTCCAACAGCCAGGTGCAATCCCATTAAGCAGAACTGGAGGTCTGAAGTTAGAACATGGCCTGGAAGGAGAATTTGTGTTCCACCCCTGCTTATAGTCCCATGTTTCCCTGCTAGCAGACACCTGCTCTGCTCGCACCCATGTACAAAGACCACTCAGCCCTTCACTGGGGCTCTGGCAAAGGCTTGGGCTCCAAGTCTTCCAGTGATGCCTCAGGGTCATCCACAGGCGAGAGCCTTCCCTGTTCTGTGTTCGAGAGCAGTGACTCGGGGCGACCCTGGAGACACGCTCTCGCTACTTGGGCCCTTATTCATCCCACTTCATAAAGAGTGGAGATGAAACCTGCCGCGCTTTTTGTGGTACTAAATTGCAGCTCCAAAGGGGCACCTCCCCAGTCCCAAAGCGGCCTCTTCTTTCACACACAGACTTTCATTTGTTATTGTCAGGATCACTTTTCTCTCAACTCCCTTTCTTCTTTGCTCAGAGGGATTGAAAGGGAAGTGCAGAGGTACCCTTAAATCAGCAGCCAGACATCACCCAGTAGCAGCTCCTGAACGTCCAACAGCACATACATTTATTGTCTTTGGAAATTGCTTCTTTCTGTTGTCCTCCCATCTAGGAGGATTCTTTGGAAGGCTATTAATGCTTCCACCTTTGGATCCAGTTACCTGGGCTAGATTTTACCTCCTCTTTGTTTTGAGGAGTCCCAGACAAACACTAGGGTACATAGTTTAACTGTAGTGACCGATTTTACATAGCATATCACTGCTTTTGCTGGCAGTGAAGGACACCTCAGGCCTGAAGAGGCTTGCTGGTTTCTCACACACCCCTTGTTCACGTAATAACCTCTCCCCACCCAGTGACAGATGCTGCACAACATAGATTCTTTCTTAGCTATTTTCTTCTGTGGCCACCATATGTCCTTTGATCATATTGAGACCTCTATCTGTGTCCTGTGAGGGTCATTAGACAACCAGTGAATGTGATCACCTGGGTCATTTGAATAAGCATTTGACTCACTGCCCCCCACCTAGCCATCACATTCAGCTTTAATGACATTTTCTTTCTTTATTTTTGAAAAGTCCTTAGGATGAGGCTTTTTCTCAGGCTCTGAGGAAAGAGCAATAAAGAAACTGCCCACAGCCTTGCTCAATAAGCCCCTCATAATCTGTCTTTCACAGCAAGGAGCAGAAAAGGAAGGGTCTCTGTTTTAATTGTCAGCCCATAGCCAGTACCACTAATGAGCTGATCAGCATGGGGTGTGCTCTGTCATGATGGGCACCCAGTGGGTGTAAAGCTGCTCACACCAGTTGTAGAGTGTGAGAGTCTCCTCTGTGTCAGAGAGGAGAGGTGTAGCATAACTTTTCCAAAGAGACTGAAGAGGTACTTCCTAAATGAGCATGAAGCTCAGGAGAGCTGGGAGGTGCTGCTGACTGCCTTCCTGGAGCCCACTGGGGATTTGTGCTGGGCATTTGGCCTTTCATATCTGCCTTTGGTGATGATTCCTAGCTTCTGGCTTGGCTACACCACTCCAGTGCTGGTTTTGGCGGGTGGCTGCTGCCTGGCTGTGGCACCCTGTGCAGCCCAAAGGGCATCGGAGGACCACAAAGGGATGAGCCCAGTGGGTCCTCACTGTGTTACAATGGCTTTCAGATGTGTAAGGGTTTAAAGATGTTCTGGAGAGTTGCTTTTCCTGCTTATTCTCTGGCTCTGGGGCTTCTTCCTGCTCTTTAATTGTGCAGTGTCATGTTTGTTGCTCCTGCTCTCTAATTAGCTCTAGTGCCTGTGTGATCCTGCCGGTGCTAGTGGGGGCTGTGCAAGGGGGGTGAGGCTATCATCAGAAAGCGCAGGGTGGGGTGGTTGCTCTGTAACTTGCCCCTTGCAAGGGGCTACCTGCCTCCCTCTCACTGGGATGGCTTTGCTTTTGCAGGGCTAAGTTATTAAACAGCTCTTCAGGCAGGCAGCTTTTTCCAGGAAAGTCTCTGGGATGGAGAATTACTTTCACATGGGGCAGCCTCTGAAAGCTGTGTGGGTGCCTCCCAGCAGAAAGCGTTGGTCTCCTCTGCTTGGTCTCACTTAAAAAAAACCCCAAAACCAAACCAAACAAACCAGGAGCGTGGTTGGGAGGGAAGGAGAGAGAGTGGTCCCCGCTTCTCCAGTACAAAGCATTCATAATTATTTTTTAATTCTTGCAGCTGAAAATACCATAGTTAAGTATGCTGCATAGGGTGGGAGGGGCCCACACTGCCTAGATCATGTATGTTATGGTATTAGTGTTTTACAAAATGTTTTACAAAACTCTTCATGCAATGCCACAGTTACAGAAAGTGCTTTTTTAAAAAAAACAGGTACATATATCCCTGCTGAATAGTCCTTCCAAGCAAGGACTAAACATCCAGAACAAAATAACAGAAAGTATGCAGATTGTCTGAAGATGTTTTATTTTCCAATTACCACCAGACAAAATTCAGGCTGACAATACAAAGCAACCCTCGGATTCTCTGTCTCTCCAGCTATGTTTGTTCATCCTATAGTCCCTGCAGACTGAGTGACTCCCTATGTCCTGCAGAATGCCACAGTGTGAGATGTGGTATAGCAGGGTACAGAGACTGTCTTTGCTCCCAGTGTTGTCACTCTGGCTAGTGCTGCTGTGCACAACAGGCTGGAGAGGTACCACTGATGGCATTTGGCCCTGGCTAGGGCAGGCAGCTTGGTGAGAGCCAGGCTGGGAAATGGGCTGTGCCCCCTCTCACCCAGCAGGCTTCCTCACAGAGCCCTGGGAGGACTCATCTCGTGTCTCTTGCTCTCTTTCTCTGTGTTTCTTGCTCTGCTTCCAGGGGGAGAGAGGCATGCCAGGGCTGCCAGGAAGACATGGCACTAAGGTACCTTGTAAACAGTGGAGTGACGCTTTGTCTGCCTGATCTCACCCATACCACTCGACTGTCCCTGATGCGCAAGCATCACCTGGATTTGTGTGTGTGTCTGTTAGTCAGTGACTATCCTCAGGCTGGATTCTTTCTGCTTCTAAATTGCAAAATATAGGGCTTAATTTATGAAGGAAATGGTGGGAGAAGCAAATGGCATGCCCAGTCCGATGCTGTCTTGCAACATCAGGATCTTAATGCTTTATGCTAGTGAGAGCGGCCAATTGCTGATGTTTCTAGGGAATTGGTGTTTTGTAAATTGGGGGTCCCAAGTGACCACTGTGATGCGTGTTAGTTAGCCCGCTGCCATCAGTGGGGTTATACAAGTGTGAACCCAGACTACTGCAGCGATGAAATCAGGGTCAGTGTGTGAGCAAGCCTGCATGTGTGTGCATTGCAGTTTTAGGATGAATACTAGAAAATAACACCATCTGCATTCAGTGCCATTTAAAGGCCAAAGAGTGAGGAACAGGCATCTCGACTGCACTGTGAAAGACTTAACGTGAGCCACTTGCTGCATGTAATCCCTTTCATGACTCTAGCCCGTATTGACTAAAACCTGCTGACCCCGAGACGATCTGGAATGCTTTTTTTCCCCGTTTATTGCATAGAATCCCTGATCTCCATCTTCTGTCCTTGTGTTTTTTAGCTTTGTCCCTGATTTCTGTTTCAGAAAGCTGAGAGGTATGATCCTGCTGCTCTCTGGCTCCCCACTCCTCCTTGTTTGAACTTTTCCAAGCTCTTTTCACTTTGAACTTGGCTCCCAGTCCTCCTCTCTGCCTCATGTGCTACATCCCAACCCCTCTCATTTCCCACCTTCTAACACTACTTCACCTCCTCCCCTCTCCTCACACCCTCCTCCCCTCTCCTCAGACCTTTGTTATCCCTCATATTTGCTTTTGTAACTGGACTTTTTCACCAGGACCTAACTAATACTAACACAGGGCATATAGAGATTTCAGAGCAAAGGGTTGATAGGGAAGACCTGCTTTTTGCATCAGTGCTGTCGAGGGAAATGTGACTGTCCCTGTGGGAGCAGCTGCCTCCTGGGGTTTCGAAGCACCTGTCTCGGATTGCAGGGCAGGCTGGACTCCGTGGTCTCGTGGTGGTGGCTTGCTCTGCACTGCAGAATGACGCCTGAATCTCAGTGCTTGGAAGTCTTTTTTTTTTTTTTTTCCCCTAAGGTGGCTGGCTTCAGAGCTCTCCTGAAAACATTTTCTTGCAGGGTTTGTCTTCTGTGATAAAAAAAAGAATGAGGGGAAATAGCAAGACCAAGGCTCTGGGGTACAAGCTGGCCTTTTTCAGGAGGCTTGAGCTGATGTACCTGGGATCAAGCTCTGAACTGGGTGTTTGATCCTCAGTTTGTCTTTACATTCCTCAGTTATTTAATGGTGTTCTGCTTGTTGGCCTTTGCTTCACCTGCAGGACTAAAACTGGGGGGGGGTGTGGAAATCTGGTTGTCTTGACTGGGTTGTGCTCATGATGCCTGCCTTTGGAGGAGCTTTCTGGAAAGCGGAGCCACTGCCGTAGGTGAACAACCTGCACAGGGAAGGAGGATGCGTGCTGTGTGGTGTTACAGCATCACTTCTGAGTTCTGGAAAGGAAAAGATGTGGATTTTGCCTTTTTAGTTCTACATGGCTGATACTATTTTGGTTTTAGAAGTTTGTGTCCGATTCATTTCAAAGATGTTCCTGTCTTTCCTCTTTCTGCCAGGGCGCTCCTGGGATGGCCACCGCAGGGGTGAAGGTCAGTTTTACACTACGCTGCAGTGGCTTAAGCAGGACACGCTTAAGAGCAAGGGCTGGAGTTAGGAGAGCGCAAGGCACAGGAAAATGGTCGAACAGCTCCCACTAAAGGGGAATATCAGAACTGCCGTTGCTTTTGGCAGTTGCTCCAGCAGCACCGCTGCTCCTCCGCACTCTCTGGGCAGAGAGGTCGGTGAACTCGTGATACTCCACAGCAGTGTCGGGATGGCAACAGAGCAAAGGGCCAGATGCAGATTTAGGGGGCTAGAAGTTACTCTGAGGATCCAAGATGCGCAATGAGACAATGACCTGTTGTCCTGATACCCTCCAGCTGCTGGGGAAAAAAACAGAAATAAAGAACCTATCTCCAGGGCTGGTGGGGAGAGTTTTGCTCCTTGATGCCACATTGATCCCCTATCAACACAGCCTTCTCCCAGTCCCAGCTGCAGCCTCAGCCTTGCTCTGCTCCTGTGCAAATTTCTTAATGCCAGCAGATGAGTCTTGTTTTATTACACTCTCTTGTATCTGATAAACCTTCTCTGGAAGTGCTGCAAGGTGGCTACTCAGTTTTGCAAAAGCCACTTGTCTGAGGCTTGCTGGTTTCTTACAGCAGCCTAAGAAATAAAATAAGCTCTGGGCACAAATACACATTTAAATCATCCTCATGCCCTTATTTACAAGCCCAAGGCCTCCATAGATGAATGTTCTTTCCTCCACTCTGATAGCTCTAGGATTTGTACTCTCTCTTCCTGGTTTTTCACTTTATTTTCTTGTCTCTTCCCCACCAGGGCGAGCCCGGGACTCCAGGAGAAAAGGTACTCTCAGGAGGCTTTATTCTGGAGCCTGCATTTCTGGTGTGTTTGTTTATTTCTTTTCCTCTCCTGGAGCAGCTGAGGGAGCTGAAGAATGGCTTTGTAATTCCTAGTGCCCAAATCCAGACCTTAATGGCACCTGCCAGTGTACAAAATGGTAGTAGCATACAGTGATGCCAAGTGAGAGAGGGAGCACACTACAGAGAGATTCCCTCCCTCCTGCTCACGTCTGTGTTGATGGGAATACCCTGCAGCCACCTTCCCCATTCCTCCCTACTCCACAAAACATGCACAGCACACTTTGCTTAGCAAGTATGCTCCCTCTCCCCCTTCCCTTGTCCCTTCTGCTTCCCAGTACTTCAGTGTCCACCAGAAGCCTTCCCCTGTTACTGCAGTAACTGCAGGGTTGTTCTTCTGTCATGAACCGTAGGCACTGCCCTGCAGTCTCCCTTGACTCAGTGTAGCGTGACCTGGTCTGAGTTCCTGTGGTGGGCACGGTACAAAAATACCCCATCACTCTCCATCCCTAAGCAGCCGGCTTGGTTTCTGAGCAGCTGGCTCCTCTTGTGTGAGGCTCGCTGGGTTATGTTACAGCATGCGACAGCCATATAACAGACACGTTCTCTGTCTCTTTTCTTCCCCACAAAGGGAGATCCTGGAGTCCCAGGGAGGATGGGGCCCCCAGGTTTGCCAGGGAAGAGGGGGCAGCGGGTAGGACATTGTGTGTTTGGGCTTGGTGTCCTGGCAGTGCTGTGCTGTGTTCCCTGTGAGCGGGAGCCTGCTTTGTTGTGGCATTGTCGTGCTTGCAGGGGATTATGTGTCCTTTTCTGGCTCTTGCCCCCTCGGTGAAGTGTGTTTGTGTGTTCCTGCTTGCAGGAGGAGGGGGGGCTGGTGGCAGGCCAGGGCAGCATGAGATGCCTGGGATGCAGTTTTGTTCTGGGAACGGTTAAGGACAGTCCTGCATCTTTTGACTCCAGAAATAACACCCTAAACAGAGATTCAGTAATCTGACCTTCCTCCTCAAGAAATCTGCTTCTTTACACCATTGTTCAGGCAGCACAGGATGTTTTCAGTAGCTCTTATAGGCATGTGTATTGAAAACTAGTCCTTAGATGAAAAGGCAGAATCAGGGATTCGCAGAGGCCTGGGACAGGATTAGAGATTATATCCTTACAAAAACCCCAAAGGCCAAGCCTTTTCTTTGGGTACGAGGTCCTGCAAATGTTTTCTTTCTTTCCAGGGAGGGAAGTATTAATTTACAGCAGCAATGTGCATGATCTGGCAGGGGAGAAGAGCCTTACAGGTGGCTGGAGGCCAGATTACCTTGGAGAAAGGGGTCACTGCACTCTAGAATTGCCAAAAGAAAAAAAAAAAAAAAGAATATTGCTGCTAGTCAATTATTTTCCACGGAGCCAACAGTGCATGTCTGTTCCTGGAGCGTTGGTGCAAACCCCCTGCATGTCAGATGTGTGTCCTTGAGCTCTGACGAGACTGGTGTGCAGCAACCAGCCTCTGCAGGCATGGCACCGAGAGGAACTCTGCTAGCCTTGCTGATCTGGTGTGCTGCTGTTGTGGAGAGAGCTAGGCACCAGCTGGGGAAAAGAGGCTTTCAGTTGTTATTTGTAATCTGTCCAAGTTGTTAAATCTTGGAGGTGTGAGTACTGCAGGTCAGAACACACCTTTTTCTGATGATGCATTTGAAGCATCTCTTCATGGTAATCTCTGAAAACACTCTTTGTCCTGGCAGAATGCAGACTCCTGAATAACACTGCAGCTGGATGGAATGGGCTAAATAGAAGTTAACTTCAACATAAAGACCACTAATTGAGTTCAGATATTCAAAAGATAGCCCAGATGTTATGGTGAACTAAGCAAAGTCACTTCCCCAAGTGAATTCTGGATGCCCTGCATTGCTCACTGTGCTGGGGCATCCTCCATAGCCCATGCTGCCGCACACAGCTCAGCCCGCAGGCCTTGCTCTCCAGGCATTGTTGTACACCATCGTCTTTGCCATTTTTGCCGCTCCTGTTTTCACTGCTTTTCAAGGCCAGTATGTGTCACAGAGCTTGGCTGCTAACTGTCACTGCTTTTTTTTTAAGAGCATGGTGAGACTGGGATTTGGAGTTAGGGAACAGGAGCAGGAAATGCCTCTTGGGGGGAGGTGTGGGGATGTTGGTTGTGAGATCTTTGCCAAAGCAAAGTAATTCACAGTGTAATGGGGAGGTGTGAAAACTGGGATGGACTCAAGCAGTGGACAGTTTCTGTGAAAAGAGCCAAACTCTGCCAGAGCACGAAAAAAGTCCTGCACTCCAAATAATATTCTCCCTGGGCAACAACTTCTCTGGGTATATGGAATGGGGAGACAAAAGGACAGGAGACAGTGTTCACTGGCCTGAGCAGGTACTGCTGGAGGATGACTAAAATCAAATCCCCTGGGGAAGAGAAGGAGGGTTTGAAATCAGGAGCAGCTAATCCTTTGGCTGCTCCTCTAGGATGGAAAGCCTGCAGAGTCAGCTTTAACCATGTCTGTTTTGCCAACAGGGTGAGAAGGGACGAGCTGGTGACCCTGGGCTTCCTGGACTCCCTGGCACGAAGGTGTTTATATTCTTTATTTTGGAGGGGGGGAGGGATCTCATCCCCTTTCCTTCCTCCCTCCTCCCACAGCTCATGCCCTCTTAGGTTGCTGTCACAGCAGAGTTCTGCAGAGCTCAGCTGGGTGTCAGCCCCAGCCAGGTGTCACACAGAGGATGCATTTTTGTGAGGAACTGCACACCTTCACGCAGTGAGGGGGGAGCTGTGGTCCTGGGAACGTGACAACGGAATCCTGTTCTGGTAGTTCCCCTTTGAAAGCATGACCTCAGAAGTAGCGTGGCGTTTCAGCCTTCCTCCTGCTCCATGTGTGAGGAGGAGATGGGTGTTTTGGGAGCTGCGCTGCCGTGCTCTGAGTTGGAAGAGTAGCCTTGTGCTCGGAGAGACTGAGGACAGGTCAGCTAAAGCTAAACTCTGAAACTGTGACTTTTTCCCTGCACTCTGAGCTGTGGATAGAAATCAGACCTCTCAAGTCAGGCTTTCACAGGGTGCTTTTGCTCTGGAAAAGGGGCCAGTGCACTGAATGACAGTGGCCATTTCAGGAAAGGATGAGGGTGTAATGGCAACTCGGTGCAAGCAAAGCTTTCCTTGCATCTGCTCTGTGCAAAGGATGTGGTCTGCAGGGCTGACTATCTGGCTGATGACTCTCCAGAGGGAGACACCAAAAAAGCCATCATCAGGTGGTCTTATCAGCTCAATTTCAACGGTAGAAGAAAATGGTTGTGTTCAAACTGGAGCCTGGGTAATGAGGCAGCTTTATATGTCCCTGGTAAATGGCCGAGCAGCAGCACTGCAGCCAGAGGGATGATGATAGCTGTGACTGCTGGCAGGGCTCGAGGTGGAGCCTGCACGCAGAGCTACGTTGGCCTGGTCCCTGAGCTGCTGGTGGCTCTGGAGCAGTGACGTTTCTGGGCTAGCGAGAGGCCAGGTGATGCACCTTGTTTTGAGCCCTGTCTCTCTCAGTCAACAGTTTGGCAAGTGAAATTACAGAGATGGAGAGACTGAACTGTGACACATGGCTTGTTCTTCCTTGTAAACAGGGAGAGAAGGGAAATGCTGAGAATGCTCTGGCAGGAGGTAAAGGAGAACCTGGCCCTCCAGGTCTGCCCGGACCCCCTGGACCAAAGGTCAGTGGTTTTTCCTCCAGTGCATTGTGTGCTGTGAGGGATTGTGCCCAGCACAAGGTGTGTAGGAAGGTGCAAAGGTAGCATTCATCTGTGCCCACCTCTGAACACCTGCCCAAGGGATATCAGGTTCTGCAGGGTGTTTTAGTTTTGTTATTTTAAATGCTGAAGGTGAGAGAATTTGTAAACTGTGCTTCTGGGAGGAAAATACCCTCCTTGTGTTCAAATAACTCCCCTGTAAACTCTGTGAGAAACCAGTCACTCGGAATCAATGACAGCCCCTAGACCCTGTAGTACCCAAGGCAGGGTGGGGATGGGGAGACAGGATGGAAGCCCTCCAAGTCTCCTACCTCCTCAAGGAGCAGCAGCAGTAAAATCCTGCTCCTTGGCAAAGGACACCGGGAACACTTAAATTTGAGGTCCTGTCTCAGATGTACTGGGAACAGCCCTCCTGTGCACTTCCTTTGGATCCAAATTGGGTGCTTGCCTTCATGCTGAATACTCCCTCTGCACTGGGTAGAAGAGAAGGGTACCTGGTGTGAAGTCACAACAGGAGATCAGGGTTACCTGGCGGGATGCAGGCAGGGCAGGGGTACTTGGCTGGTGCAGTTCTTCCTCCTGGAAATGCAAAGCCATCAGTGGAGTCATGCCTCCTCCACACAATACAAACTCATCCCTTTCCCTTTCTTCTTCTCTCAGGGAGAAGCTGGTGACGTTGGCCGGCCTGGTGCTGCAGGGTCACGGGGGGAAAAGGTACAGAGTGCTTCTGCACAGCCCTGCTCCAGGCTCAGTAGCTGCAAATTTGTTCCTCCGTGTACAAAACTTAGCTAAAAGGAGCATTTTAAAACTGAGCTGTCTGGTCCCAGATGGTTTCAGAGAACAACAATTCCTGGAGTCTGAGCAAGTGAAGGGATGGGCTTTGCTAACAGCATGTTCTTCTTGTTACAGGGGGAACCTGGTTCACCGGGAGACCAGGGACCCACGGGCCCAAGGGTAGGTGTCCCTCCACTAACACTTGAAGAGTTTTAGCCCTTCAGAGGAGTCTGAGGATAGTGAGACCAGACTGACAGTCTAGATTGGGCCTCTGCTTTCTTGACAGATGTTCTCACTGTCACTAAAAGCCCTTATAGCTTGGCAATGGCTAAGTTTGAGACAGGCCATTTCTCTGCTCCATACCCTCATCAAAAGACACCCCCACCTTAGGGGGAAAAGGTCTTCCGAGCCACCTCAGGGTAAATGCTCGCTCATTCCTAGGAGGAGATGGGTTTCTAGATCCCAGTCTGAACTCAGGCCCTTGACATATCAGCAAAGGGCAGCAGGAGAGTGTTTGGTGTATGCCTGAGTCTGACAGACAGTCCAGTACCGGGGTTCTGGCCTCAGCTTCACCGCTTACCAGCCCTGCCAGCTTTGATGCTCATGGCACGGTGATCTGGGCTTGTCTGACTACACTTCTGTAGTGTTTCCTCTATAAGATGTGCTTTCAAGAGCTTTGTTCGACAAATGAAAAACTGCAGGTGCACGAAACAGGCCCCTAAGAGCCCTTTTCCAGGGTGACCCACAGCTCTGAGTACCCCATGGGAAGGGCAATCCCCAAGCCCTGGCTAAAGAGCTGGTATTTTCCAGGGCCCCAAAGGAGAGCCTGGGAAGGATGAAATGATGGACTACGATGGTAACATCAGTGAAGCTCTCCAGGTGAGCGACTGCCTTCCTGTCCCATGAGGTGACTGCTGGGTGCTTTACCGTTTCCCAGGGGATGCAGAAAACTGGGAACAGTGTACATTTGCTTCCTCAGCAGTAGCAGCAAGAGGAAGTACTTGGGTGTTCCATACGCCCCTCCAGCCCGCAGCTCACTGCACATAGTGTTTTGGTAAATACTCGTGTGCCTTGTTTAGTTGATATATTAACACTGGTGGATGTAGAGGTCATGTGAATCCCCTCAGGAGTGGCCCATGACTTGGGGTAGATGGTGAATAAACAGACTGCAAAGCTTCCTCATAAGTGTGCGCCGATGGTCTGCGGTGAGCGAGCAGCTGTGCCCAGCTCCGGGTCAGCCTGGGTTCTACTTGAAAAAAGGGGAAATTGTAGAATAACAGCTACATGAGACAAAACTCATTTGTTTTTTCACATTTGTTCATTTTGTAGGCTCTTTGGTCATTTGGGTCAGTGTTACATTAGCGGAGAACAAAAGACCTCCATGAAAAAAATTAGTTTTCCAATGGATGTCTTCTTTTTCTGATTTTTTTTTTTTAACTTTTTTTCTAGGAAATACGAACTTTGGCCCTGATGGTGAGTTCCTAGCTTTTCTATGTGGTTTTAAGCAAGTAGCTGTAAGTCCATCCTAAGCAGATGGCCTGACAATTTAAGTGCAGCTAAAACATTTGGCCTTTGCTGTTGGGAGCTAAAGTTGTGGCAGCTGACAGCTGAAGGAACAGCTCATCTTGCCTTATGATCTTGGGACTTGAATTCTAATCAGGCCCTTTATCTCTCTGCTTTCAGAGGTAGTACACGTTACTCAGAACAGGGAGTGCTCCAAAGGGACAGGGAAGAACAAGGGGGGTTGACCAAAGCAGATAAAAAGGAGGCCTTGAGTGCCTTGCATGAAAGCTTATACTGGCAGTCTGCAGTGGATGCTTTCTGGGGGGAGGACATATTTTCACCATTGATAACTTGACAGAACAGTCCTGTACAAAATTTATCATTTAAACCAGCAGTGACTACAAGCCCTTTGAAGACAAAGAGAGCCACAGTAATTATTTTGAGCTAAAATAAGGGAGAAAGTGTCCCTATATTTTGCTTCTCAGGACAAGAAACCTGGTTAGGACAAAAGATGGATTTTTAAAATGCAGTATGACAGGGCAGCACAGGTGTAAGTAGCCAAACTGCTCCCTAGGTCTCCTTAAAGTGGTAACTGCCAAGACTGATCAGGAAAGCTGCTCAAAATACTAGAGCCATTTAGCTCTGCTTAATCTGTGCTTGGGCTCTAAGTCGTACAGTGGTTCCTATGATCTCTATTCTAAAAATATACTTTTGTAGATAGGGAGAACATTGTTAAGTTCATCTCAGTTTCCAGAGCAGATGGCTGTGGTGATTTTTGTTTTCTACCATGAAAATGTAAAGGAATACATACATATCTCCAACTTCCCTTGGACTGGTCTGCTGCTCACTTGGGACTCTCCATTACTTGGGTTCCCAAGCAAATACAGTTTTAGTCCCTGGGAAAATTCCCCCACGATTTCCCCTTAAATTCAGAAGATCTGTTTGATTTCAAAACACAAAAATAAAAGCCCTGTTGATAATCTGAAAATGAGTTTTTCTTTATTTAGGGCCCCCCAGGACTTCCAGGTGTGGCTGGACCTCCAGGGCCACCAGGACAGAAGGTATTCGCTCAGTTCCGCACTTGCAGAGCTAAGGGAAACACAGGAGCCATCCAGGCAGAATTCTCCCCCCCAGCCCTCCCCAGAGCTCCTTTTCTCCCTGTCCAGCACTATCAGACTGTCCTGCTGGCCTCTACCACTCCTCCTCATACACAATATTCTGAAAATCTCTTTTCTCACAATGATAATGCCTTATCTGAACGATGAAAGATCCTTCCTACTTGCCCTCCCCTTTAGGAAGCAGCTTGTGGGAACCGATCTCTGTGCGGGGATTGTGTTGGTTGGGGACTATGTTATAGCACTGGGGCTGTGAACTATCAGTCAGGATAAACAAGGCTGGTGAAGTTCTTAGGCAGTCACACAATGTATTGTTTCAACAGAGGTTTCCATGCTTTTTTTCTTCTGTGACTATTAGTTACCAGAGTCCCTGCAGCCTATTTCTATAATGCCCACACTTCATCATTGAAGTGCCACTCAGAAGGAGTCAAAACAACTGCTTTCAAACTGCCAAAGTCACAATTCTGTGTTTCAGGGTGAAATTGGCTTGCCAGGTCCTCCAGGCCATGATGGAGAAAAGGTAAGACGTGGTGCCTCTGTGGATGGCTCTTTCCTTTGGTGGTCTTATCTGAAGTTAGTACATTCCATCTCTGTCACTGACATTGCACAGTTGCTTTTCCCACAGGGGAAGAAAGTGCTTTGCTTCACAAAAATGAGCATTAACGGCTTATCAAAGTCCTAATTTATAAGGAGTGGCTGAGGTGGCATGGCAAACCTACTTTGTCCTGCCCATGACTCCTCAAAGGTGTGAGAGGATGAGCAGTGAAAGAGGCTTTGGGCCAGGGAGTTGCTCTGCAAGAGTAACCTTACTCTTATCTGTAAATGTTTCATTTTGTGTGGATTTCTTTCAGGGACCACGTGGCAAGCCTGGAGAAATGGGCCCCCCTGGCCCTCATGGACTACCAGGAAAGGATGGACCACCTGGAATAAAGGGAGAGCCAGGCCATGTCGGGGTCACAGGACAGAAGGGAGATAAAGGAGAGCCAGGACAAGCTGGCTCACCGGTGAGTAAATGGAAGCCTCTTGAAGCACTGCTGGGTATCCAGGTTATGGAGCAAGGCCCTGGGACTTCTTGGATCCCTCAGAGCCCCTGCGAGGTGGGTGCTAGAGGAACCTGGCTGCTGCTGTATGAAGTGTGCCAACACAGAAGCGAGGTCTTGGCCCCCTGGCAGATGTGTTGTCCATCTTGCTGGCGTGGCTGTCCCCAGCCACCTGCCCTGCTCTCTGGGCACCGTGTCACTTCCTCAGCTTGCTGCCCAGTGTTTTGCTTAAACTGAAACGCCGCTGTAAGCAAGCAGGCCTGACTGACCAGCACACATGCCCTCCTAGGAGGGCAACTGCATGGGGTAACCCCCTACATCCCCGCCACTAACTGGAACAGAGTGCCCACTCTCCCAGCTTCAGTCTGTCTCAATTTCTGTATCCCCAGCACTAGCCGAGAGGCTTTTATGCAATGAGTTTCTGCCTCTCTACAAGATTACTAGGATAAAGCTCTTGCTGTCACAACAGCTGGCTATTGGGGAGTGCTTTCTAGCATGGACTCCAGCAAACTGCATAACCGTGAGCAGAACTTGGAGGCAGGAAAGCAGTACCATATCCCACTCTGGGGACTGGCACATCCACAATGACAGGAGGATGTTCAGGCGTGTGCCTGTCTGGTTTCAATACTAGCAAAGTCCTGCATTTCCCTGGGCACCTAATGGTTGTCTGGAGTTTTCAGTGTGTTTTGGGAATGTCCAGAGTCAGCCTCAGCTCTTACAATGATGTCTCATATGTCTGCCTGACATAGCCTTGCAAAATTCCACAAATATTTCTTGATCCATAGGGTCTTGATGGCCCCACTGGAGAGAAAGGCGAACAAGGTGACCAAGGGATGCCAGGACCGTCAGGATTGCCGGGTCCCATTGGACTTCCAGGATTGACAGTAAGAGTGAAAAAGATAGGCTGCTCTTTCCTGCTTGGCAAAGAGAAAACAGTGTAGAGCAACACACAAAGGGTTCCTTTCTCAAAGTGCTGAGTGTCTTAGGAGCCCCAGTTAGGTGTTGAGGTGTCATTGAATGTCCATCAGGTCTCCAGCAGCAGGCAGGGGCCACCTGGGCATCTGCTCCTGTTGCTGTCGGGCAGTTCTGGCTCTGGCAGCTGCCTGCAGAGCCTGCGTGGCTAAGTCAGCTGAGATGCTTAGTTTGCTGGCAGCATGACACCGTTGTCAACCTGCTTGCCATGCTCCCTCCCTTAGAGGCTGTAGTGCAGCAGAGAGCCATCAGGCTGCTGTTGGGGAAAGACAAAGCAAAGTCCTGTGGCACTCCCCTCACACAGCCATGAGATAGCGCTCCTGGGGGCCTCCCTTTGTGTAGGGTGTCTCCTCTGGAAGCAGAGGTGCAGGAGAGCCACAGGTGAGCTCTTTGTGAAGTACATGGTACGTTCCCACTCCTCCATTGGGGAACTGCTGCTTGCCGGCATGTGGGTGGTTCACAGATGGTTTCTGATGGAGCGAGACTTCAGAGTGCAGCTGGTGGTGACAGGGTCTGTTGTTGTGTGCAGGGAGAGAAGGGTGAGCCTGGGGAGCGTGGAGACAAAGGAAGTCTGGGAGAATCGGTAGGTCACCTTTCTCATGTTCCTTCTGCAATCTCAGCAGTAGGGGAGGGAAGATTTGGCAGCAGTCCTTGCGGAAAACCAGCACATCCCACCCTCTCATGACAACACCCTTCACTGAGGACAGCAGACTTCATCTTGCGGGGCTGAACTGCCAGCCACCTCTGGCTCCCGATGCCCTACTTCTCCCTTACACAAGAAGAGTCTAGCTCACGACAAGCACTCAATAATGAATGCCTAGGGAAGAATTAGAAGGTCAGGGAAAGCATAACAAATATTTTGCTTGGCATTTGTGGTGGAGGGATTTCCTGAACAATACTTGCATGTATCTACATATATATTTTTTTTCAGTAGATTCTGGGTTCTTGAATTTGTCCATTTTCTCCTCAAAGCTCACCTCTAGCTTCTGTAGCTCCCTGCAGCAGGGAGTCCCACAGGCTATCAACACACTCCTCTCTCTGTGTGGAGCCAGCCACCTTCTTTCTCGTCTTTTGAAACAGCTGCTAGCTGTTGACCTTGTGCCTCCTTACAGGAGCAGTGGTAGAGTAGTGCAATCGGACCCTTGTCTGGAAAAACCTCACTGCTTTCCCTCCTCCTAAATATCTGCATCTGCTGCATAACCCTCCCCAGAGTCCTGCTGCTGCTTCTCAGTCACTCTGTCCTGGATTGCTGCTGCTTCCTGATGCAGTCCTTAGGGGAAGTCCAGTTTTTCAAGCCTGGTAGAGCTCTGCTGCACCCTGTGCCCTGCCTCCCCTCTGAGCAGTTCCCCTTCACCTGCTGAGGGCAGCAGATTAGGACACTGACTTCTCTTGCATTGCTTTCTAGGTATCTGGCCCCCCCGGACCCCAAGGCCCGCCAGGACCTCCAGTAAGTATTCAGTGATTCACCTGAGGAGCAAGGCACTGGGAATGAGGATAGAGCGGGAAGTGGCTGGGGAGGGTTCTGGCCAGAGAAAACAGCCAGAAACACTTCAGCGTTGAAACAGGAACATGCTTAGTATCACCTCCAAACCCACCCCGCAGGGTAGGTCAGAGCTAGGTGGGCTGGGTAGGTAAAGAGAGAAGGTTATGTTAGTCTGAGATGAAAGGGAAGACAGCAGCAAGATGGGATGGATGGGATTAAAGGGATCAGCTGCAGAAATGGTCTTAATAGCAAGCCTGGCCCACTGCCAGGTTGTTCTTGGCGAGAGCCTCCTCATTACCAGATGAAAACAGTACATGAAGTGCCCTTTACACAAATAAAGAGGCCTTCGGGCTAAGCAGTTGTGCCCTCAGTGTGACAGAAAGCGAAAGCTCTATACTGCATGCTGAACTGTGATACCTGGATTTTAAAGCACATCCTTAAACATTACTCATACCTTGTCTCTCAACCCAAACACAGGGTCTTCAGGGCCTCCCGGGACCGAAGGTAAGGCTGCAAAACATTGCATCCTGAAATCTTGCTAGAGTTGTCCCAGGTGCAAGAATTCCCTCCAGTAACAACTTCCTAGCTTTCAAATGTTACTTCCATCTTGGCAAGAGGACAAATCCTTCTGGATATTTCCTTGAAGGAAACGGATTAGCAGCTCTCACTTTAGGACCCAGAAAACTGGTCATTCTCTCCAGTTTTCATGCAAAGAAGTGGGAAGTCACTGCCCCTTGGAAATCTTCCCAGGAGAACTTAGTTGAAATCTGTCTGAAGGGTGAAGGTCTGTACAGCAGGATGGGCAGCCTGTCATACAATCCTAAGTAACTGAGCTCTAGCTTAAAATTAGCCAGGTTCTATACCCTGTAAATTCTGCTGTAACCCACTCAAGAACTTCACTGTTCTTGGTGATAGGAAGCTTTCTAATCTCCATCTAAATGGAGATTGGCTTGCCTGCCATAAAACAGTACCTAGATGAAAAAATATTTGAGTGGAAATGTTCAAGGAGAGCTGCGTTTTTCCTCTGGCATTCTTGGCAAAGATTGGAAAATGTGGAAAGTGTCTTAATGCTTCTGGTTATGCTTAGAATTTGGCTACCAGCACTATCTGGGTGCTAAAGGGGATGGTGTGTTTATCCCGATTCATCTTTTCTCCAGGTGTTGATTACAGATACAGTTACTGCCTTGCTTGTCTGTAACTCACTAGCCACTGCTATCAAGTGGCTGGGAAATTTCCATCAAATGCAGTCTCTTTAGGGTATGTGCCAAACAAATGCAGGTGAGAGTCTGGCACAGCACAGACTGGATTCTGGGCAGAGGGAGTACCACACCACTTTCTCCTTGAACAGAGGATCTGTGTAGGCTTAATTACCAGGTGCAATGGGATGTCCTGTGTGTGGAAGTTTTTGTTCCATCTTTGCAAACTGTAATAAGTCTTTTTGTAGTGGGGAGGAAGAACATTTTATACCCTTTGCAGTCATGTCAGAAGTGAGTAGCTCCTCCAGGTATGCGCCTAAGCCAGATAGTGCTGGATGGCAGTGATGCGTGGCTGCACGGAAACTGGAGTGCTGTAGAGTGAGCCAGCAATGTGGTGTCTTACGATTCCAAAAGAGTACAGCAAGCAGGCTTACTGTTTCTGTCCAGACTCTGTTCTCCTGACACTTCTGTTTCAAAATGCAGCCAAGATAATGTTTTTAAATGCCTTATGATCAGGAGTGGGGAGAAAAAAAGCTGTGGGTCACATTTTGGATTTAGGAAAAATTAGTATTTTGTTTAATATTGCTTTGTAGTTAATAATACAGAAATTAAAAAATACAGTTGGAAAAGGAATGATGAAATTATTTTCTCCCAAATTTTGAAACTGATGCTTTTGCATTTACAAAAGTCTTTCCAAAAAATATTTCAGTGTGATTTTTCTTCAAAGCTCATAGACACCTGCCGTTTGCTTCCAGTGAATCCACATCTTAAAATGTAAGACCACCCTACCAGATAACTTCTGGTTATTCACATTTACCTGACGCTCTCTGCAACAGCGGGGAGAGCAACACGGAAGCGAGCTCAGCTTTGACCGTCTTTACACACCGAGCCTGAGTCTCCTCTTGCTGCCACTGACTCACAGCAGGTGCTCGCACAGGGTCGTTTGACTGATACTGGTTTTCTTCGGACAGGGCTGAGAAGGAGGCTAAAGCATTGCTGCCTCTTGTGTTCTCCCTGCCGCTTCGGCGCTCTCTGCAGGGAGGCATGTTCCTTAGTAAAGTGCTGTTACAGTGGATTTATTTTCTGCTCCATCCTTCCTTTAGGGGGAAGCAGGGATTGATGGAATGAAAGGAGAGAAGGGTGCCCAGGGTGAAAAAGGAGACAGAGGGCCACTGGGATTACCCGTAAGTATCCAGGAAGCAAGCAGCACTTCATGAGCCAAACTCATATCAGCTGTAAAAAGATCCCTCAATAGGAGACGCATGCAGGGATTTGATATGGAAAGTCAAAGAATGAGATGATCTATAAATAACTGTGCCTTTGCTTTTTAAACTTAAAGCCTCAATTTCTGTACAGGACCTTCCTCTTTTAGATCTGTTAAATAGATCAGTGATCACTTTCATTCTTCCCGTTTCTGGCGGGACTGGGAAAAACAAACAGTAGCTTTCCTGTGGGTTCTTTGCACTTCAGGGCAATGGGGCAAGACCAGAAACAGAAGTCAAAAAGACGTGGAAAAGGAAACACCTTCCCAGCCATTTGTCACCTGGGCCAAGCTTTGTACAAAAGCTCGGTGGTTCTGAGCGCATCCGGCTTCTTCACCAGCCAGAACTTTCCTGTCACTTCTGCCAGGGAATCAATGTTTGTCCTGGCACGGTAGAGGTGTGCTGTGGTCCCTGCTGTACACGAACTCAGTCACATTAGACTAGTGTTAGTGCGCTGCTTAACTTAGCAAGGAGGAATTGTGGCAGAATTATAAAGAAGTTACAGGAGCTTTAGATATGAACTTGAAGACTTTGTGAAGCTCTTGGCTCACATTTGCTAAAAGCCTCTTCACCCATGGTCTGAGCTGACAGCTGGTAACGAGTTAGTGGTAACTTAGTCCCACCCTGTTGCTCTGCCAGCCCCCAAATTCTCTCTCCATAAAAAGCAGTGGTGGCAGAGCACGCCCTTTTCCTTTGCTGAAACTCCTGCCTGGAAACAAGCACTGCAAAGCGCATCTTGTGTACTGTGTGACTTTGTCAGCCTGTGTTCGACCACCCAGATCCCTTGTCCCTGACTTTGCCTGAAATGTGCATGTCTTTGTTTGTAAAATGTTTTCCTCTTTTTAGTTGTGCTGTATAGCAGTTACCTTCTAGGGCCTGGATGCATCTCATCTAACTTTAGGCACTCAAGTGACCTCGTCATGGGTGTATTCACTGTGCTCCATGCAGAGCCAGTGGGGAGAAAGCAATACTTTCAAAAGGTTCAAATGCAAAGGATTATGCCTCAGGGAAGCAGTGAGAAGCAAAAAAAAGCAAAAAACGCAGTCCCCATTTTGCCTTGAGAAATGCAAATGGCAGCTTTCTGTGTAAAGGGTTATCCTCTCAGTCTGTGGACAGAAGGAGGTTCTTGTGACAGTCTGAGCAGAAAGAACCCCAGCAATTACCCTGCCAAGCTCATCAGTGTAGCAGGGAACGTGCCAGCTGGTTCTCCTACAGCAGTGACCCCCATGAGAAGCCAGGGTCCCTTGGCTTCTTGCATCACTCTTCCTGAGCTGCAGAGTGGGGAAGACTGGCTCGGAAGTGTCCTCTTAGAAATGTTTTGGTTTGGAGCAACAGTATCAGCTGGCCAACTAGGGAGCACAATTACTGAGCTGTTAGTAAGAACAGAGAGAGATTGTGGACCTTGTATCCTCCTCAAGCTACCCCAGTCTCTTCCTAAGTTTTCCATGCCTGATCCAGGGTGTTTTCAGCCTGTCAAAATAAATGCAGTGCCAAAGAGGTACTGAAATATTTCAAAGACAGACTCTGTAAAATCCCTCTGCTGGATCTGCTGCCTTTTCATGTGTGACCTAGGGCTTGACATCCTGCCAGAATTTCAGCACGTTTCAGCACTGATTGTCTGCAGTAGCCTTGGGCTTCTCTGTATGGCCAAGCTGAGGAATTTGTCATACTCAAGCAGAGGAAGACTCAGTATTTAGTATTTATATTCTACCAAAGATTCATCTTCTGAGCATCATCAGAGACAAGACACTGGGCTAGATGGGCCTTGGGCAGAACCACTGTTAGGTCTTATGGATGAGGAAATTCAGGGCAAGAGCCAAGCAGACAGAAAAATTCCACTTAATCTCAATCTGGTGTAAATCTGCACTGGTGACACAGGAAGATGAGCCACCTGTTTTATAAGCCTCCAAACAACTGGATGTGGAGTGGAGCAAGCCTGCAGCTGACTACGTGTGCACCTACAGGACCTGAGTTTCTTGGTAGGAACTTGAACGGCTGATGGCTCTGCACTCCCTGTAAACGCCTCTGTGACCGTAGCCCTCTGAGCCCCTGAGCCTCGTGTCTCATCTGTGTTGCCCAGCCTGCCACAAAAACGAGGCAGGTTTCAACTCTGCTGTCACATTGTCCTTTTCATCACCTGTCACAGAACAACTTCTTCCTCGGGGGTTTTCTTGGTGGCACTGAGAGGGAAATTTGCATTCTCAAGGGGATCTGAAAGTTGCAGGTCAACATTATATGTACTCAGTGTTTCTATGTTTTTGTTGGTTTGCTTGTAAGTACCATCACCTGTCCTTGAGATCTTAATTTTTGTTTATTGCAAGCATATGTTTGTCTCAAGTCACTGCTTCACTCACCTCTCCCCTCCCTTCTCCTTTCCCCCTCACCCTCCTCCCCTCTCCTCTTGCCTTGTTTTTGTTAACCCTCCCCCGTCTGTTCAGGGTGCTTCAGGTTTAGACGGCAGGCCTGGACCACCGGTGAGTTCCGTTTCTCCGTTACCCTACGTTCCTCCTTCCCAGTATCGTGATTTGTCTTGTCTCTTCCACCACAGTCTTGTTTACACCAGGAATAACCTTCTTTTCTCCAAAGCAGGCTTGGGAGGGGGGGGTTAAACTTAGACTGAGAAGTGATGTCACATGCTTGTCTTTTTTGATGCTGCGATCCTGGGATCACAGCCTACTTGTTCCATTTGATCCAATAACAAGATGAATGAAACTCTGCATGGTTCCGCAATGCTCTGTTCTCCTGTCCTCTTTATTGTGAGGGGTCTCCATCCTGTCGTTCTCCGTGGTAGCCTTGCTAAGCGCCTTTTCATGACAGTAGCTCTTTGGTTTTGTCTTAGGCTTGACAATGCCAGTGTGTTTTGTCCTGTGAAAAGCTTTGTGTGTTGTTTTCACACGCGGCACTTAAGGCTGCGTTGCCATGGGTTGCAGGCATCTCTCCATAGAGGAGAGATAAGCATCTCACCACGAGAGGTTGCATCTAAAAGACCTTCTGCAGGCAGGACTAGCCCTTCAGCTCTCAGCAGCAGAATGCCATGCAACTTCCACGCATGTTTTCCTTAGTCCCAGATACCTGGGGGTGGGGGCAGTGGGGTGGGCTCCAGTCCAGTCTATACATCTGAGAGGTAGCGACATCTCACAGTGGAGCAGGAAGGTGCAAGAGTCCCACCTCTTGTTGCTAACTCACTGTGGGACATGAAGGCACGCTCCTTGTGCCTAAGCTTCTTAGTCTGTCAAATTCAGAATGAGACGAGTGATGCTAACCTGGTTATGCAAACCATTCTGCTATTCTTGGGTAACAGCTGTTAAATAGGGGCCAAATATTTTTAATTCCTCTTGGGTAATCACACATCATCCATGTACAATCCATTTGGCTATTTAAAAAGGAAAAGCAATTTCTCCTCCTTAGCATAACTGGAAAAAATTCAGCTGCTCTGTAACTTCTGAACTGAATCTGAATGGCAGCTTAGACACTAACTTGTTTTGGGAAATTGTAGGTTTAATTTTATAAATGCGCAGGTGAGATCTCAGTGTATTTCATGGCACGAAATGATGCATATGTGCAGGCAATTAAGATTTCCATGATGTGAACTCCTGTGCATGAATCTGAGGAGAGCCTGTTTTTTCTCAGTTCCTTCACTGCGTTGAAGTTGTGTGCTGCATGGACTACTTTTCCACTTACATTCTGCGGATCTTAACTTGTCTGAAAAGCTCTCCTGATCCACATGAGTCATCCTGCTCACATCAGAGGGGTTATTTTAGTGACTCGGGATTGAAAGCTCACATTAAAATGTGCAAGATTCTTCCTTAAGGCTGTTTGTTAGAAAAAGACTTCCCTGTTCCAGAAGCTTCCTCCTTTGGTCTTCCTAGAGGGCAGGTAGTGGGCCTCAAAAGTATCCCTTCATCGAGGCTCCGTGAATCAATACCCAAAGGGTTAGCAAAGTTTTCGCCAACCTAAAAGTATGTGATGTAGGGTTAGGAAGGTAAACACCTATCTAAACTATATTTTTAGGTAGGTGTACTACAAATTTGAAGGCTGTACTTTATCTGAACTGCAGAATGTGGTCTGGGAGAGCTGCAAGAGACCCTCCCATCAGGGGATACTCCACAAGTTTGAGGAGTCTGTACAGAGTTGAAAGTGCCTGAATCATTTTCTTAGCCAGAAGGACTATTGCCTAGCTGCTGTATTGCCCGCGTTACAGATAAGCTTTGGTTGGGCTGATTTTCCAAAGCCCAAGCCAGTCTCAGCAGCACTGGGAAGTGCGTTTGGCACGCTAGTGGGAGACGGCCCCTGTGTCACAGGGGTAGCAAAAAGACTGGGTTTTCCTGTCAGCTGATTGAGAGCCTGGTGGAGCAACGTAAATGGCAAAAAGGGAACCGAGGGACTGGGACTGAGTGATACTCCTCTTACTTTGCATCTGTGTATGTGTGCGTCTGCGTTCGTCTCTGCAGCATGGTGTCTTTCAACTTGCATGCCTGACTGGCTGCCTGCCACCAAGTAACCAAATCTTTCGTTTTTGCTCAACTCAACTGACTCCAGGGGGGAAAAAGAAAATAAGAAATAAAGAAAAGAAAAATGCTTATCATGTATCTAAATGGCCTTTATTCTGCTACAGCTTTCAGCCTTGTCTGACATAAACTAGAGAGAAAAAATTCTCTCCCGTGGAACTGGTAGAAATGCCTGCTGTAACAATTGTCACGAGATAGCTTCAAAATTAAAAATAAGGCTCTGTAAAATGGTGCTGGTGTGATTGAACATTGCCTAATAACAGCTACTTCAAATCCATCGCCACCAACACTGAAAGCTGTAGTGGTGCTAGATGCCTTCCACCACCAGACTGTCCTTCCCAGCTGTGCTTTTTCCTAAAGGAGCAGCAGTGTCTCCTGGCTTTAACGAGGCCCTAGGGTAAAAATGTCCTGACGTGTTTCCCTTCCTACAACTACAGGGCACTCCAGGACCAATTGGGGTTTCGGGACCAGCAGGACCAAAAGGAGAAAGGGTGAGTTTGCTTCAGAACTGATCAATGCTCTGTAGTTTCTTTGAAGATACCACAACTTCTCTGGGATAGAGAAGGTCTAGAGTTTTTCTAGAGCTGGAACTACTCTCTCTTTGTGTGTATAAGACCCTCAGCTGGACCTCTGATTTTTGAGTATCTCATCTTTGGGGTTTTTAGGTGGTTTGAAGCACATGCTTTACTTTTTTTTTTTTTTTCCCCCTGTAGTGCTGCTGTAGCCACTGCTGTGCTGCCTGTTTGTGCTGTATAGGAATGTAACGATTTCTACTCTTTTGTCTCCATTTCAGGGCAGTAAAGGAGATCCTGGAGTTGTAGGACCAATGGGGCCAGCAGGGCTTCCTGTAAGTACGGGAGTGCTAGGGATCTCCAGTGCCTGTGTCCTTGCTGTGGCTGATAGCTTAAGATGCCACTGTGATACAGCATGTGTGATTTCAGCTAGGTTAGGTAGTAAAGAACCAACTCACGTACGCTGTGGGAGCAGGAGAAAGAGCTTGGTAGCTTCAGAGCAATGATTCAGAATGAGTTCGATGAAGCTGAAGGGAAATTCACCTTGGTCCTCAAACTACCAAAGGAAGCTGCAAGGGACTCCCAGAATACATATGTCAGTCCAAAGCACTGCTCTGAGCATGTTTGCCCTGTTTAAACTTTCCACGGCTTGGGTGCCTGCCTTCCGCCTGTCACTGCAGTGACAAAAGCTGCCTCCAGTGAGGCACTCCACTGTTTGGGATTACTTTTTGCAAAAATGGGGCCGGTGTTGGAACTCTAGTTTTATGTAATCATGGAGCTGCTTCGTTGTTTAACACAGAAAAGAAAGTTTGCTGGTTTTTTTTCTGGGACTGCATTCTCTAAACTAGTTTGGTTTTTATCTGACGAACCCTTAGAGTAGTTGTAGTGGTGTTACAGCCCGGGATGGCCTAGGGGGTGAAGAGGAGGCTGTCTGCTGGAAAAGCTTTGGTTCATTAGAAGCGATTGATACAAATGGAAAAAACAAACTCCTGGGCATACATTCTTCTTTTTGAGTGGGAATACAACGGGGCCTACTTGTTTTAAAATATTTATTTTTGCATTGATGTATTTCAGGGTTTACAAGGTCTACCTGGTGACAAAGGAATCCGGGTAAGTTACCAGGCAAATTTCTTGTATTTAGTTACTAATGTCTTCGCACAGTGATAGACTGGTTAACTCCTGAGCAACCTCAAGTAGCTAGCATGTAATTCTGTCTGCTAGACCTTCATATAAGTGACTTTACAAACTTGTATTTCAGAAGGTGATACCTGTAGCTCGTATTATCGCCCTGGGACATTGTGATGCATCTATCTGAAAGCTGTAACAGGGATTTTCTAACGTGTTCATTGTTGTCATAGCTCTGTTCTCACTGAAGCACGGGACTTCATGTGTAGTAGAGTTAGGCCAACGTGGCATGCTTTAGGAAATCCTGCTTGTCTATTTACTGATGTGTGCAGGGATTCACATGAGGGTTAACTGAGGTGGAGCCAGCAAATCTTATTACATTACTTCTAAATTTCCCCTGAAGCATGAAAAAAGGGAAAAAAAAAAAAAAGGTTGCCCTCTAGCAAATGACTCTCCAGAGCATTTGGAAGATGGAAATTTGGATAAGTTAAACTAAATTTGCCTACCTTAAAGGGTCAGGCATGAAGTCTCCACAGGCATTGTCCTGAATGAATGTGATGGTGAAGAGTTGGGTCAAAACCAGTAAATGTGAATGGCTGCTTTTCTCTCACACCACCTGTGTTATGGAAAGATAAACATTACTAAAAAGTGCGTGTTGAGCAGCAGCTTACTTTTACCTCAGGTTTTCCACAACATAAGGAATTTCTTGCCTGTTAAGGCTCTGAATCTTTTTGATAAAAACAGTTGAGAACTATAGTTTAATTTATATTTAGAAATATAAATTACTTCTGTATTAGAGTCTTTGTAAGATTACAGTCATATAAATATGTCAAGCAGTTCAATTTGGTACACGTGTATATCTTTATGCATGCACTCATAAATACGCCTTCTCTTCATAAGACTCTGGTATCACCTAAGTTTTTGTGAAAATGTAAAGTTTTATAGTGCATGAGCCTGTGTGGTGATTTCATAATGTGAATTTGCTTTTGATACGTAGTGAGTGTTCTCTGTCCTTTATCTGCAAAGTATTTCTGACCTAACTCTGCACAGAATGGGCAATTTTGGAAAGCAGTAGCCAGCTGGCATCTTAAACTAGGGGAGAAAGGTCCAAGATTCATGGGAGCTCCAAGGTTCTCCCCTTTTTTAATCATTGCATTTCTGGCTTTGCTTCTTAACTTCCTCTTCATTAAGATTCCTTTTGTTTTGTTTGCGTTGCTTCTAAACAAAAAAATAACTTTAGCATAACTCCTAGACTTTTTCAGTTGGTTTTTAAACTGGGTATTTTACTTAAAATAAGGATATTTCAGTAGCTGGAGGTAGGATTTTTCCGAGCTCTTGCAAAAACTGGGAGAAACAGCACCTCCTAGTAGAGCATGAGTTGTGAAGCGTAATGGGAAGATTTGCTGGCCCCTTGAAGCACGCATGCACTTTGCCTCACTGCAACCAATATTTTGAAAAGGTGTGAGAAACCTGAGATGGTAAACGGGCAAGTCTTTACAGGTGGGATCCTAGAAAATGTCCCTTTTCCCACTGAACCTTTGTACAGGGGCTTCCCCTCACTCCTGCCCCTCTTCAAAAACTGTGAACAGGTTACTAGTACTTACAGGAGTTAAACAATACAGTTTTGGTGAGGCCCCTTTATACAGCTGTTCTGTCTGAATACCTCCATCCCTTTGAAGTCATTAGAGACATCTGACAAGTACCACCTGGCAGAACTGCACTCGGTGCTGGCTCCCCAGGATCTGCTCTGCAGCCCAGTATCCCCAGCTGAGCACTAGGTCTCCCCTACATCGGGACATACGGCTTCTGGGTCAGAACCTCAGAGCTGTGAAACAGTCCCTCCCAACTGCTGGTGAAGCTGTGGTGACAATCAGCCAGGAGACTTCAAAACAAACAAGAAGCAAGCTGTGAAGTGAAAAAGAGAAGGCAACGCTCCACTCGTGACCTGTTCCACAGGGGGCTGGGGTACAACTCTTTGGAAGTGGGAGATGTATTCATTTGAAACACACCTCTCGTTCTCTTAGACAGCAGCAGGATGCATAGCACTTTGATCTGAAGATTGTCAGTGTTGAGCTCATTATACATGAGGACCCACTTTGTTAGGCTCCCAAATAACTTGCCCAAATCCTCTCTGTTACTTTAGGCAGAGCAGTGCTTCTTAAGTCCCAGAAACGCTCCTGCTGCCCTTTGTTGGGATCAGCATAGCTGGGCCTGGACACAGGCAGAGATGTATGTGGCACTGGGTAGCCATGGGAACAGATGGCCTTCTGAGTAACCCAGCTGAAAAAGTGCAAACCCTGAACATGTGCTGATATCCTCACTGTTATTTTAATGCCTGTGTTTTTTTTCTTGTGTGTATGTGCGTCTTCCTCGCTCCTACAGGTCCACCTTTGTCCCCTTTATCCCTTCCTCCTCTTCCGCCTTTCTTCCTGGTTCCTTCCTCCTTCCTCCAGAGCAACCCATGCCGCATTTTCCTGGATTATCCTCTCTGTTCCAGTGCTTGGTTCTGGGTGACTTTTCCGCATTGCCTCTCCTCTCGCATCCATTTCTCTTGCCAGCTTTGGGTTTAACTTTTTTTTTGTTTGTTTTTGTTAAAGAAGAAACAGCAACCTGTGCTGTCTGTTTTTATCCCTTAATTCCTTTAACCCTTCCCACAAAGACCCTAAATGTATTCCCTGTGCAGCAGCCCCTTTCCCTGTTTTATGCTCAGCAGCTTTGAGAATTTCCTCTGTTATACAGACAGATTTGGTACAAATGTAACTGTCAAGTGCTTTTGCTATGCCCTGCCTTGGCTGACCTACTGTGGGTGGGATGTATCCTCCCTTAGTGAGGAGGGGCATCTGGGCATTCTCTCAGCCCCTTTTGTGGCTGGCTTTCATCGACATAACGCCGCTTTTCCACAAGACAGCAAGCCTCCTCTTTGGTTACGATTTTTTAATTTGTTTCCCTTCTGCCCTGGCTCTGGTGTAACTCACTCTGGAGCCTGCAGAGAAACTGTAATATCAAACCATTGTAAGAATCGTACCTTTCTGGGATACGGTCTGTGCTGCCAAACATGAGGGCCAGGGACTGATCGCTGCCCTGTGGCAGTGCTGCTTAGGACTAACGGGTTTTTCTGGCGGAGCACTACTCAGAGCATCCCAAAGGGCAAGCAGGCTGCTGGGGCTGAGTACTGCCTCCATACTCTGGCTCTTTCCTCTTTTGTTTTCCTGCACCCCAGTGCACAAACTGCTGTAAGACTCAGGCAAGCACACTTGTTCAAAGCTTTGCTGCTCTGGGATATGGACGTAATTTTACATCTTAAAAAATAAAAATTAAAAAAAAAACAACAACAACACCCCCTCCCCAAAAAATATCCACAGAAAAAACCCTACAGCTTTTAAGGAAAAGCTAACAACCCTGGTGGCAAACAGTGTTCATTCATCAGTTTAAGGGAAAGCTTCTAAAACCGCAGGAAAGCCTGCTCGGGGTCCACGCAGACCCTGACACCCGAGGGACCGGGCATCCAGGTGCTGCCCCGGAGCTCCAGGGGCAGAGGAGGGGCCCTCCCCGGCAGCTGGAGATGGAGGTGAGGTGGCACGCTGCTGGCCTGAGGAGCGTTTGTTTGCCCATCCTGTGTGTCTAGGGTCAGCCAGTCCTCAGCAGGTGCCTCTCGCTGAGCTGTACTGCCCTCCGTGTCTAGGAAGCCCAGAGCAGTATCTCCCAGCGATGGTACTGATGGAGGAGGAGGAGTGCTCCGCTGGCTGACCACAGGCCTGTCCAGAAAGCTCAGAGGCATTGTCACCCCTTTGATGCAGAGCCCTTACAGTCTCTCAGGGTGGGATTTTACCAATGGCCAATGTGATTATGCAGCTAAGTAACAGCAGCTCCATAGTTGTTTTTCACTTAACATCTCAAAGGGAGATTTCTTTTAAAATGTTTCCTAAATGTTTATCCTTTTTTTTTAAACTATCGCTGACATTTGTTTGAAATGGATGATCCTAAAGCTTTTGTGTATTCTTTTTCTCTTGGACTAAACTATTATTTGCAGGGGGAGAGGGGCAAGAAAGGCTCTAGAGGGTCTAAAGGGGATAAGGGAGACCAAGGAGCGCCTGGATTAGATGCACCCTGTCCGTTGGTATGTTCTGTTTCATCACATGTATTGTTTTAAGATTTGTTGATGGGGAAGAAAGAAGGAAATCATAACATAAATAATGGTCTTACAAAAGGACACCACTCGGATAAAGCCCAGCCTGGTTCCCACTGCAGTCCATGGCAAAGCTGCTTTCTGCAGCGGGGAACCACCGATCCTCTGAGCAATCAGGCTGTTGAGTGACCATGGTTATATTCCTTCCTCTTCCAGAACTCACAAAGGTTTGGGGTACATGGGGGGTGCCCCATGTGCTGGGAGCCCAGGGCTTTCTCCCTTGCGGATAGAGCCCTGTGTTTCCTTTGCTGCTAGTTATGGCTCTTCTCTGGAGATGTTTAACGTCATCATGTCTACGTACAGCAAAGCCTGAATGCTGTTTTTCTTGCCTTGGAATAACAGCCAGCTGATGTGATCACCTGGGAGTGACACAGGGCACTCGAACTGCATTACCCAGAGGGAAAGTAAATCTCAGTTATTTTAAATGACCTATGTTTCTGTCGAAATGTATTGTCTATAAATCTTGACAAATTGATAAATATAGGGACATGTATACATTTTCATCTAAACTCATATGCTGCAGCAAATGCTGCCAAAAATCTGTAGTACTGCCATAAATCCCAGGAGTACTTGTGGATCATGCAGCTAGAAATCCAGCTGCTAGTGAGGATGGGAAGAATGGATGATTTCAGAACAGAGGAAACACCGTTCCCAGCCTCTCAGATTTAACTCACAGAAGTATCTCCTGACTTGTAGATTATAGAAAACAGAAAAAACTGCGACTACTGATCATGCAGGCAAAACTAAAACTGAAGACAGCGGCCATCTGTGTTGTGGGTATGCAGCAGCGTGTCCTGTGACAGTCCCAGTGGGGGACTCGGCCTCTCCTCCCGTGACACGGAGGTGACTGGCATTAATTGAAATAACGATAGTGGTTGATTTCATAAACAGGGTCTCCGAGGTTTTAAAGGCGAGAAGGGTGAGCCGGGGTTACCTGGGCTGGACGGCCTGGATGCCCCATGCCCATTGGTATGGCGTACCTTCCCTTTCCTGCATGCTCATTTGCTTTCTGTATCTTGGTTGTTATTTTCCGATACCTCCGAATAGCTGCATGCCCTAGAAACACCTGGCAATTCCCTCCTTATCTATCTCCATCCTACTTCTTCACGCTGCTGTGGTCAGAAACAGGCCCTTGCCTTCACGCTGTGATTCACAGTTGCTGTCAGCATTACTTTGTGGCATGAGATAAAATGTAGTAGGAATGCGAATTTATTTCCAACTGCTTCAATTCCTCCTTTGCCTTCACTTTGAGAACTTTCAGTAGACTAACGTGTGAAGACCTGCCTCTGCACTGGCCTGGCTTTCTAGCAAGGAGCTGCAATGCTCATGTCCTTCATTAACTGTTTTTAAGTGCTTGTATGTGGCTAGCACAACCTGAAACTGCTCGGTATTCCCTCAGTCACCCTATACATTAAGATGACTGAAAAAAATACTTAGCCCTTTATCAAGCTGTCATGGTTTAACCCCAGCTGGCTATTAAGCATCACACAGAACACTTGCTCACTCTCAACCCCCCCCTAGTGGGATGGGGAGAAAATCAGAAAAAAAACCCCAAACCCCAAGGTAAAACTTGTGGGTTGAGGTAAAGACAGTTTAATAGCACAGAAAAGGAAAGGAAAATAATAGAATATACAAAAAAGTGATGCAATTGCTCATCACCCGCTTGACTGATGCCCAGCCAATCCCTGATCTGTGGTGTCCCCTGACCAACTCCTCCCAGTTCATATACTGGGCATGATGTCATACGGTATGGAATATCCGTTTGGCTTGTTTGGGTCAGCTGTCCTGGCTGCGTCCCCTCCCGGCTCCTTGTTCCCCCCCAGCCTCCGCTGGCCGGGCAGTATGGGAAGCTGAAGAGTCCTTGGCTTAACACTCCTGAGCAACAGCTAAACCATTGGCTTTCAACCACACATCGGTGTTTCAACATTGGTGTTACATTATTCTCGTCCTAAATCACACAGCACTATCCCAGCTACTAGGAAGAAAATTAAATTTATTCCATCTGAAACCAGTACACAAGCCCATGTGAAACACATTAACTGGACACTTATCTCCCTCAGTTCCTTATAGACAATTCCTATTTGTGACTCTCCACAGAAGTCAAAATGGTATCCAAAAATCTTGAATGTGAAATTGCCTTGTTCCCAATATCCATCTTACTCAAATATTAAATGATGATTATTGTATTAGTGCCTCATCTAACCCAACTATTGTAGGACAAAGGAATTCAGAAACACTTAACCTCAACGGATTTCTAAGTATCCCATTAAACATCTATTAATTCACTCTGAAATTTTCTGAAAATGCAGCGTTCTGGTGAGGTTTTTTCTCCCTACAGCAGTCTAAACAGCTCCATAATATATGGAAACTTGTACTCCCCTGCCCTTCCAACCCCCATTTGGCATGATTAGGTTTGCCTGAGAACGGTCATTCCAAGCTTTATGCTCACTTAAAGGTGTTTGATGACATTTACAAGGGATGGGTTATCAGTTCAACTAGTGGAAAAATGTGTCCCAGATGAAAAAAAAAAAAAAAACCACAACAAACCACATTTAGTTTGGTTTTCTTAGTTTCCTGAGGAAACTAGCCCTGAAATTGCCATTAAAAGCCTTAGTTATTTGACCTTTGTGATGAGCTACCATTAGTTTTCCTTCCATCATTCCCTCCTTTGGGCGCTGCCACTCTCTCCTGTGGGTGGTGCGGGCGACCCCTTGTAACATCTCAGTCATTCTCCATAAATTCTGGGTAATACAAATAAATATGTCTGCCAGTTCCACAGCTGAAATCATACCTGCCCAGAACAGTCCACAAAGGAGAAAAAAACATTGAGCCATGTGCTGTGCCTCCCACTGATAACAGCCAGGTTTCGATGGAGTAAATTTTGGCTGAATAAAACACCTGATTGCAGAGGCACAAGGATTCTATCAGTGCCCTGGTAGACTATCTTTCTTTTTTTGTCTCTGCTCTCAGTTATGATTCACCCCACATGGCCATGTTAGAAGGTACACTTCTTTTCATGCCTATTTTTGCTATAGGAAACTTGCCAGAAGATCTGGTGAAATACAGATCCCATTATTTATTTTTTTATATATAGTGGTCTGGCATGCAAGCTAGCTTGGGAACGTGAATAAGCATGTTTTTTGATCCAACTAGGTTAAAAGCTTAGCATCCAGCTGACACATCCATGTGTGTAACTTATGGAGGCCGTGAACTAATGCTTTACAAATCTGAGCTATGTGGAAGGAGATACTTGGTACTAATCGGCATGTCGCATTTCCGTTCTCGGCAAATTCGCCTGCAACAAACACTTCCTTGTGACCCTGGTCTTCCTTTGATCCCAAAGCTGTAACTCTCTGGCCTCCCATTCCTTCATACACCTAACTTCCCTTCTCCTTCTGCAATGCCCTACACCAGTCATTCCTACCACCACCAGTGTACCAATGGGAACGTCACCATCTACCCAGTAATTAACCCATACCTCAGTATTTCCATATAGTGGGAGGGAGGGGGAAGAAATATCACAAGGAGACCACAGGCTAAAATATTCATTCCGAAAGCAATATGGTTGTAGCATCGTGGCAACATTCCTTTCACCATTCCCTTGGAAGTGCATCTCCTTTAAATAGTTTATTTCTCAATATGCTACTGTGCATTTGCTGTTCTGTTTGGGTTTTTTTTTTTTCCTTTCCCCATCTCAAATGGGATGACACGCACTGCAGATTTCTCATGCAGTACTTGAAGAAGTGGGAACTGAGTCAGTTGAATGAAGAAATGTGCCTGCATCCTGCATTGTAGAAGTTCACGCTCTGCCCTTGAGCTTTCCTGGGGAATAGCAACAGCCCGTGAACCTGACACACACTCATGGCAGAAGTATTTGATTTCTTGTGTCAGAGGTGTAGCTCCGTACATCTGAGTTAAGGTGCTCTCGAGCAGGAGATGATCATTGACATAATTTCCTATTTTCTCACATCAAGTAGGGCTGTGCTGAGATGAAATTAATGGTAGTAATTCACAAAAGCATTTCCCAACCATATAGTTTCAGTCTTTTAGTAGCATAGCCCTTAAAGTACCCAACCTTCTTCAGCATCAAAAAAAAAAAATCACAGGCCCACCTTGGGATGTGTAGCCCAAGACTTCAAGGCTGCAGAAGTGCCAGGGGATTTTTGCAGGAATCTCCCTGACTTTACTGAGGCAAAAGCCCCCTCTCAGAGAATCATCTGAGACATCCTCAACCAGCACAGGCTCTGCCCAGCTGCTTGCCTTCCTTGTTTCCCTGGAGCAGTGTCTTCTCAGAGGCAAGAGGGGACAGTGGGGCAATCTCTCACATGATAAAGCAAACCCTTTAACAGACAGAGCAGAAAGGAAATGGAGTTTTTTCCCAGACTCCCCTCAGGACCCAAGGTTAGTGCTGCCTCTCAGGTTTGCTTATAACCTCAGCGTTACGGAGTCAAGCCTGAGGATGTGGACCAGCCATCTCGCCCTTATCACTGCCAACTCCCTGCGGTGTTTTTCTGGCTGAACGGGACCTCCTGTGTTCCCTCCATCCTTCAGGGAAGCCTGGCTAAGCACCTTCCTCAGCGAGGAATGAGATCCAGCCTGTAGACCTCGTGTACATAAGTTCCTGTGTAGCCTGCAGGCAGCCCCCCTCTTCAGCCCCACCCTCGGTTCAAGCTACACTGGTAATGTCAGCCAAAAGTCCAGGTCACTCCAAAGGGGTGAGGAATATCTTTCAGACTATTCCTCCAGCCCTGGTTCAGACTGTTTGTTGCAGCTCTAATAGTTAACCCACGTCTTCTTTCCTCAATCTCTGCACTGTCTTCTGTGTCCTAAACTGCTATTTCATCCGTCTTTTTTTCAGGGGGAAGATGGCCTTCCAGTTCAAGGCTGCTGGAATAAGGTAAAATAATCCGGAAATGTTGTGACTGTGCCGTGCTTGCAGTGCTACAGGTCCTGCTGACGTTCTTGAATGAGTCTGGCTAGAGAGCAAAAGAGGTGTGGAGGCATGCATGGGATTTTCAGGACCATGGCCCTGAGAAGCAGCAAGCAAAACTCACCCATGTTTGTACACTGCTGTTTAGTTTTATAGGCTAAAAGCGAGAGAATTGTATTTGTGGCCTGTGAGCTGCCTGGCCTTGAAGTGTTCTAACAGTTGCACAAAAATCAGATTTCCATCTAGTCAACTCCGTCACCAGCGACTGGGAGCTGGCACACCCCTGGTGACCTGGGCGGACGGTGGGGGACTGGTGGGATCAGGGCAGAGGTTCGTGCCTTGTCTTCAGCAGCGTAAAGGAGCGGCAGCTCGGTGCCCCCGCGCGCCCCGCCGGGCTCTCAGCACCAGCCCCACAGTGCTCCCGCTGAGGGGACCTGGCAGCTGGGCTTGAGGCAGACCCCGCTCCCGGGGAGCGGGCTTGTTCTCTCGATTCTGGGCCAGCGCTGAAAGGGGGGTGTACGTACCTCTCCCCTCCACTCTCCCTTTGTTTGATGGTTCAGCTGCTGTGGGAGGCCGCTCCTGAGGTTCCCGCAGACCCCTCTGCCGCTCCTCAGGGTCTAGCCCACCTTCGGGACCTGCTGAGGGCGTTAACGCCAAGTCCTCAGGCCACGGTCATGGGAAGAAAGCGGAGGTAGAGAGTCAGCCCGGATTGAACCTCCCACCCTCGCCACCCAGGGAAGCGAAAAGAATCTCTGCTGAGATCCGGCACCATTTCTTCTCCTCCTGGAGATGCCAGAGCCAGCTCCCCTAACGCTGTCCCACTGTCCATCCACCCACCGAAAGGGTCCCTCCCCCTGCTGAGCTGTCGCTAACAACTGGTAGTGAATTGTCACTAACACCCGTTTATGTTTTCTTTTGCAGTGATGATTCTAACCCTGGACTGGCCTATGTGTGTTACTGTACATAGAATATTTATTTTTATACAGTGTTCTTTTCTGAAATTCTGAAAGTTATGCATTTTTACAAATTATCAAAAAGCTTCATATTTTTTGTACAGAAAATACTAGATCTCCCTTCTTCCCTGTTTGTCAGTTCTCTGTATAATTCTGTGTCTGCATTATGCTTGTTTTGTCATGGAGTACAGCTGTAATATTTACATGATATTTGTGCACACATGATGAATATAAGAACTTAATAAATTATTGCATTAAAAGTGCCCAAAGGAACTGCCCTGTATAGATTTAAAGGTCTTTTCATTTTCCAAGCTGGAATCATTCAAGAATATTTCAAAATATTGTGTATTTTTATTAAAGTGAAATACGAACAATTTTGTTGTGGCTAAATTAAGGTGTTGCTGAAAAACCTCATAGTAGCTGCTGTACACTGCGAATATAGAGATTCCATGATTAATAATTACCAAACAAAGTCTGTTTCTTGATCAGATTTAGACAGCCAAGCGCAGCCTCCCGCCAGCCCCTCTAGAGGCTGCTCCTTGGCTGTGCAGGAACGGTAACACCTTCTCCAGGAGCTGTGGAGTTAGCGTGTACAAAGATATTTTAGCCTCTGGATAAAATAGAGCACCTCCCATGAGCTGGAAATAATAAAATATAAAAATAAAATAGAGCACCCTCTATGAGCTGGAATAACCCACATGACAACGAGCCCTGGCTGGCAAGAAATTCTAACATCTTTCTAAATTGTAGGCCTGCAAGTAGCTTAATTAAAGCCTCATTTAAAATTAAGCATATGGCAGAATACCTTGATGATATCCTAAATGAATGTTTATTAGAGAAATCAATCCACATGGCTTTTTAAAATGTTAAGCAAATGTCGTGTGCAAATTTGCAAAGCATGTCATTATAATTTACACATGTACATCTTAATTATCCTTCTTGACCTACCTTCGTTAATGCCTCAAGTCTAAACTACCCATCAAGAAAAATTACACTATCAAACTAAAGTGAACATCACAATGTGCTTTTCTTAGAAAATGAGCAAAGGCGTGGAAGCCTAAATCTATTCCCTCAAAGACATCCTCTTCCCTCGGTCCTTCACGTAACGGGGACAGACCGTTTGCAACCCAGAAGTTTCAGGGGGATGGAGAGAAGCTATCGGTACTTAAAATCCCAGCAGAGGAGCACAAGTGGTAATTCATTAGTTAGACTGATCCACTGAAGTCCTGCTCTTTGCGTAATGTTGCTGCTACAAAAGTTGTTGAGCACCCTCTCCCACGGCGTCTCGGGACAGTCTCTACCCCGGCGTGCTGTCCGTGCGGATCACGGGCCGCCTTCGCAACAGCTGCTGGCTACAGCTGTGCCACCTGAAGTGGTCCCCACCACCGCAGCCACCTCCTATACTCAGCTATTCAACCCCCATACTCAACAATTCGTCTGTTTACGAGCCATTAAATGGTGATTTTCCCCAACTGCTTCCATACAGCCTCTCAGCACCGTCAGAGTAAAACAGTGGAGTCAGAGATGTGCCCCTTGTATGCGGAGGAAAAGGCCTGCCAGGCACTGCCCAAGGAACTGAGCCCAGCCCCTGACTGTTGCAATGCAATTGTCACCTCACCCTTTCAGAAATTTATTGAACTACATCTAAAAACCAGTGAGGTTTCTACCGCTCTGTGTCCCTTGCCTCCCCGACCTGCAGGCTGTTCCCAACTCAGATCACTCTCACCCTTAGGAAACTCCTTACAACTTTCAACCTAAACTAACTCCTGATTATTTACAGCCATTTCTTCTCATGTTAACGTTGTCCTTTGGGTTAAACTTTTCCACGCATTCTTTTTTTTCATGAGATGCTCCTGGTACTGGAGCTGAAATGGCACAAAAGAAAAATGAACTGCAGAGCAGCAAGGGATTCTTGTTTGTTTTCTCAGTAATATATCTCATTAATAGAAGACCCAGCTCCGCGTTGTAAGGCTTTGCAGCTGTGAAGCTTAGCTAATTGGAACAGCATTTATTTAAGCTAACTCCACACAACTCTGGTGTTTTAATTACACACCTGTTAAACATAATAAAGACTCAGTGAGGGTCTTCAGTGGGTTTTGGAAGGTTATAGTAGCAGCAGCAGTGAACTTCTACTCTGATCTTGTAGCATTTGGCCCCCAAGTGAAGCTTGAATGCTTCAGCCCATCCTGAAAATGCTAGCTCTAATCCTCAAAAACTTACAGATCCCTAGAAGAACCTGCCAGTGCCTCCTGTTCCCTTTGCTGTCTGTAGTGTCTTTTTGGTTTGTAACTGTTATTTGTGGTTGCACTGCATGGGATTGTCTTTGCTTGGGTTTGCCCGATCTAAAAGCAAACAAAGCACGCGGCTGTTGCCTTGATGAAGCTACTGAAAGGTAAAGGCATCTCGAGATAACGCTGTATCTGTTTTATTTCTTTGGCTGTTTTTTGACCGATGTATTTGTAAGAAAGAAAGCTTTTGCCTGAGGCACAGGGGACCTTGAAATGCAATTGCCAGAACTCTTGAAAGTACCTGACTTGTGTCAGCAAAGCGGCAGGGGAGGAGGGAAAGTCTGAGCAAAAGCGGTTTGATTGCCTTTACTTCCAGCTTTGCCCCAACATAACTGATTTGGTATCAGTGGAGATGCTCCTGCCTTACACCAGTGCAAACCCAGGAGGCACTGGTGCCACAATTTCTATAGAGTCAGATATTTTCTGTCAGCAAAACAGACACACACAGAGTGTGACAACACATGCCCTTATCCTTGTTACCTTCTTCTTCTTCATTATCTCAGATCATTCTGTCTGTAGCATTGGTTTGGCTTCAAATTAGCTGCTGGATGCTGAAGGTGCTTATTGTGGGCAGTGGAGTTCCTGACCTCCTGAGACTTGTTTACCTTCCTTTGGCATAGCCATAAAAAGCGGAACTTAATTTGGCAAAAAGCATTTAAAAACCTTTCTAAGAATCGTATTCTGGAGGAGAGTTTACTGACTTGAAAATTTGTTTACCATCTACTTTTTACTGCAAACCAGCAGCTCCTTTTGCATCCTGGCAAAAGGGATTGATAGACTTCAGCTGTGAAGAAAACTCAGCTCTTAGACCTGGTTCTCAAGGGCACTGATGGAGTTAATTCCCACAGATTTCTCTAGGGAGTGGGCACCTAATGGCACACCTAAAGGATTTTGTGAGCTCAGCTGGTGGCTCTGAATGCTGACAGACGGTGCCTAGTGTGGGGGGGTATTTTGGCGATCCCACGGTGTCTCTCTAAGTTTTGCCTCTGTTGGGCATTGAGTCCTGAGTGTCTGGCGCAGCCAGGAAAACCCAGCACCGCCCGCAGCACATACAGAGAGAGGGAAAGGACCTGAGGTTATGTGCAGCAGTTGCACTGAAGTATAGAAGTTGAAAGACAACTGATCTAGCAAGGGGGGAAAACTACGTGTGAGATAACCGCTCACCTGTCACAAAGGTCAGAAAAAGGTGACAAACATTCCCCGTGGCTGTTGCAGACCACAGCCTGAGTTTTTTAACTGAAGTAGATCAGATAACTGTTTGAGATTGCTGTTCCTACGGCCACTGATACTGATCCAATCTTATCAACCACTGGGGATAAACCAGAGGTTGTGAATCGGCGCACCTGGGGGGTCAGCCGCTCTTCCCAAACATAAGTGCCTTGCATTTCAAGAAAAACCCAAAGGGCAGAAGCTGGGTTTACGCCACCCTGAATCTGACAGTTTAGTTTCAGGGTCCACCCCTACTGAAAGCTGTAGCCGCATGGTTGTCGCTGTGGATGACTGTTAATTCTGCCTGGCCGTTGTCATGTAAAACCATTTGTCTGCCACTTCAAGGGTCAAACTCCTTGGCTGATAGCCAAAAAGTGAGACAAGACTGAGGGTGGAGAAGCTTGAGAAATGACAGCAGAATGAAAGGAGAAGGAAGGACCTTCCTGAAGATTTGCTGGAGATGTTTTGCAAGTTCCCTCCCTGGAGCTTGGGAAGAATTCGTCAACTGCACACCAGGAACCGGTGCCCAGATGCTGCCTGCCGGGGCTGCAGGAGCTCGGCGTGCCAACGCTTTCTGCTTTGCTGTCTGTCTTCTCCCAGAGGCCAGTGGCAGGGTCTGAAAATGACACCATTTATAGTCTTTTTCTTTGGTCATTTTCACTTCATTCTATTATTGCGGTCAGACTCTTCAGATGAAGGATTAGGCTCATTTTCCAGCAGCTGCTGTATAAATGAGTACAAGACATAGGCAATATTTCTGCGGGGGGGAATGCTTTGATTCAAGAAAGAAATCCTTCTTGAACAATTATCTTAAGAAAAATCGGTGAAACCCCGCCATGTTCAGTCCAGAGTGCTGCTCAGAGGGGTCATGATAAAACTTTTTGCTACCGTTTCTGGTTACCAGATGACAAACTTTCACCTGTATCGTTGATGATTCCATCATTAACCTTTTCATCACAAACTTTCTTCTCCTGTTAAATCATAAAGAAATGATGCGGTTTTTGCCAAAAATGGAAAACTATACTGGATTTTGAAGGCATGAAATATCTCGTCAGAGGAGGAAAATACGGAGTGCAGAAAAAAAAATCTGGTTTCACTGAATAATTCCTCTGCTTGCTGTACTTCTGCTTTGGTCTCCACCATGCACACTGGATGTATTTTTGTGGGCACCTCTCAAGAGATGTACTTCCAGGTGGGAAATAAGGATCATGAGGGTTAAATTCTACTGTAACATGTTTTAATACATTCACTGAAGGGAAATAAAGATTTAGGAAAGTGCTGAGGGGTGCAGAGGACGTTTTCCAGCTGTTGGAAGGGCAGAAAACACAACTCTGGGTGCTTTGCACCAACTGCCATGCAAATCTGGCATCCCTTACTCAGTTCCTCTTGCTGAAGGTTAAATGTTCACATATAAACTATAGCGTCTTTCCACCACAGCTCTTGCAATTTATTTAAAAACCCTAAAATTTATTAAGTGCATGTCTTATGAACATGACTCAAAACATTTCTACTTCATTGAGTGCGCTGGGAATCCCATTCACCCAAGCACTAAAACACATATTTAACTTTGAGCATGTGATTCCCGTTGGCCCAAATGATGCTATTTGCATATTTAAGTACTCTGGTGAATCAGGGCCGTTATTATTAGAGTTAATGAATGTGATATTATCTAAATCATTAGGCAGAACTAAATGATAAGTGATTCACGTTACAGTTCAGAGAGAAAGCACTGATTTCAAGTTCAAAGTGATGTCTTTTAAATCAGAGCAAGTCCCAGAAAGGCAATAACCTTCATTCAAACACCCTCTGCCAAC